AACAGCAGGTTCCTAAGGTACAGTACCAAACCTGCCAAAACCTGCTGTTGGAGTATGGCAGGTTTTGGGCAGTTAGGGTTAAGAAAGCCACTGTATTTGTAAATGTTAATTTATTTCATATCTGACCTTTATCTCACTATAAATAAAAATTCCACTTTTAGACCACACTGTTCATTTTTTAAATGGCCGTTTTCGTCTGTTATGACTGAAGGAAAACTGTACCAGTGGTCAGCTTTCTCTTTAAACAAAAGAAATTGTTAGGTTGCTGGCATAGAATGCTCCAAACCATGCTAAATGGAATGGGATTCTATTATTTTGTATTTGCACTTCAGGGGGAAAGATAGGATAGCGTCTTGGATGAAGCACTGTTATTTGTTCTTTAGAGGACAGATGTTCAAATCCAAAAAAGCAATTACACCAGGAGGCAGATCACCTTTCCCTGTTGATATCCTGCTCATGTTGCCCTTTTTACATTCCCTTTCTGCAGGTTTACCCTTCACCATCGGTTTTTAAATTCCTTCTCTTTTTCGCCAACAGTCTGCAGAACGTGTTCTCCAAAAAACTTCTTAGTGGCAGTTCCCACAGATACAGGTAAGACCAAGGCATTATATCGTCTTCCTTCAAGAGCCATTGTTTTGTTGCTCTTTATTTGTTGTTTGAGAAAAGCAGTTCAACAATTATACATTTCATTACTTCTACACGTAATGGGTAAGTGAAGAATATCGCACTAAAAATCTAATTTTGGATTTTGCAATATTTTTTTTCAAAATAAACATTGAAAATTTTTAATGCTTTGAGCGTATTTTGACATTTGCCGTAATCTTTCCTATTCGGGAAACTGTTTTATCTGTACATGTTACCACTTATGGAGAATTCAAACATACATTATAAATGTACCTTCCTGACCATCTATTCAATCAAGCCCACCAGAACTACAGTTCTACACCAGCACAGCAGCAGTAGTCCTCCTAGTGCCCTCCTGGTTTTTTTTAATTGTGAGTACCCTGATTTTCCTCTTGTACTTGTTCTGTAGCCAATGACAAAAGAGTAATTCAACACAAAACCTTGTATTCAGTTCAGTGTTTTATCTGTGACCTTGACCAGACCAAGACCAAGGCATTCGAGACCAAGACCTAGACCACTCCTTCAAGACCGAGACCAAAAATTTGTGACTAAGACTTTTGCAGTTTTAGAGAGACCGAGACCTGAACTAACGAGACCGAGACCAAACAAATTGTTTACTTTTTTATACGAAGGTACACGAGGACAAGGTACAGAGGAGGATAAAATTATACTGAACATATAAAATTAAAAAAGTAACATATGCAACACACCATCAAACATGAATAGATTAAACATTTCTTAGAGACCAAGACCAAGACCAGCACTCCCGAGACAGAGACTTTGATAGGACGAGACTAAGACCGAGACCGCAAAAAAGGTGTTGAAACTTTCAGCACTGATTCAGTTCTCCCAATTTTACCAAAAACAATGTTCTATTTTTTCTGATTTTGAAAGGTTTCATTTGACTCAAATCACAGTTTATATGTATTTTGGAAATGACTTTGCATTCATAGATTAATCTGAAATGTGTGGACTGGTATGAATGGGTGAAGGAATGTGAATTTACAGATCTTGCCACAAAGATTAACCCTAACACTCCTCAATCCTTCACCTGTTGGAGGACTGAGGACTGTTAGGGTTAAACACCTGTCACACTTGTTTATCAACTTGTTTATACCAACCTGATTATATGTGTATTTTTGTTTGTATGCATTTGGCCCAGTGAACTCTTTGTCCAAATGCCATTTTTCATTCCTGGGCATCGTCATAATGGGGGAGGGGCATAGGAGGGGATTTTGCCATGGTCATGTGGTTAGATTGGTGTGTATAGGTTACTGGGCTTCATATGCCAATGTAGTATTCCACATGAGCATGCACTTAGTGAGGCATTCATGTGGATACATGTAGGTCATTCAGAATGATCACTGTGGTTGCCCAAGGTGAGATACCTTGACTTCAGGTAGTGTTTCTCAAGACTGAGGTACCGAGTTGACTTACTGAGCACAACCCACCATTACGCGTTGTTCTTATAGCTTATTGTCAGCACTGGAAAGTGGGCCATCATGCCCCTTTAATAATGGCCAGTCTGTTAAGCCTTGAATTGATCGTAGTACACGTACGTAGTACTGCCAAACCAGGAAGAGGATGTAGATTTGATCCAGGATAGATAAGGTCATCTTCAGTATGAATGTGTTGGTGTATATATTAAAACAAAACATCAACTCATGCAATCCCAGGCCTGTGACTGAACCCGTAAGGTTGAGTTGGGTGCAAACGTCTGGTTGATCGCTTTTTAGCAGTGCACACGCATGATACAGTCACACTCAAACAACCCTAGTTGAACAATGGACATCATCGCTCACGATTTGCTTTTGGCTGCAGCTCTAATAGTGTTCATGGTCAATCACATCTCTCGTACTACTATTTTCATATGAATGTTTCCCTCCAATTGATGAAATATAAATTGGCTATTGATAACTAGCAGTGCGACCGTACCCCTGGGCCTGGGTCCAAATACTAGATGGTACAAACATTCATTGTTCAGGCAGAGTTAGTCAAACTGTGGCTAGCTACGCTCGTCGTACAAACCTCCCAAGGAATAATTACAAAAAGTGTCTGAAATAGGCTTCCAGGGCCATAGCTATGTCAGTTGCCAACACATGCGAGGTCTTTATATCTGGCAAAGACCTAGTGTACAGAAGATTCATACATGGTTGTAGATTCAAAAATCTTTTTGTAAAAGCATGGATGGAGTTTAAGATACACTATCTACTGCTCATGCTTATGAATTCCTTTGTTGTGATCCTCCATTACTAATAGGACAACCCATTTAAGAATGGTCTTCCTGATCAAGTATTGGTCATGGCCCTAGTGCTCGATGGCATCTTTTTCCACCTTCAAAGTATAACAGCGTATGCTCTCATGGGAAGGATATCGCCGGTTACTCATAGGTAAGGAAAAAACCAAGGCACTGCTATCGTAAAGAGAATAATTTGGTTTGAGGATATCAAGATTGCAACTAAAGCTTTCTTTGTGGATAAAATTATGCCTGCAAGAGGAGTCAATTTGTTTTTTCAAAACTTTGTACCTACACTTCCAGCTACTTCTCTAGCTTTTAGACCCCTTTTTAAGAAAGCTAAAACAAAGAAAAACCAATTAATAAAAGCGTGAAGGAAGGAAGACACCCAAACCAAAAAATGCCACCCCCCGGTGAAGCACATTGCCAGCTCTGATCAATAAACTATGGCTCGTTTTCATCTTGGGAGCATCTGGATCTCTATTACCCAAGCTGCATGGCATTTTGGTGAATGTAACTCCTCTGCACATTTTTGTTTTCAATCCATTCTTCTCTACATTTGACTTGAATAGTTATTCCCAAGGCCTTAACCCTTCCCTAACACAAGGATGCCAGTTGTCAGGCAAAAGTGTGATTGCAGGCTTTTTCATATACCGGTAAGAGGTCAGGGGTTAATTCCAGGGGACCAATGTCATGGAGCTGCTTAAGCACAAAATTTGCTTAAGCGTGAGAAAACCTTGCTTGATAAATTAGGTAACCAGCCAAAACTCCATGTGATTTATATTGTTTTGGAATCATATTTAGCTGTCTTTTGGTTAGCATGACAATTAGATAGAGTTTGAGCTGATAACCTTTGTTTTTTAAGCATGGTGTTTTCACGCTTAAGCAGATTTTGTGCTTAAGCAGCTCTATGAAACTGGCCTCAGACCTTATAAAGGTAAGGCTTCTCTGTTCTTATTTCCAGGACCTGGACAAGAACCTACTAAACTCTACTGCACTCACTGGTCGCAAAATGAAACGCAGATCCCAACTGCATTTTAAAACATAATCTAAGCATGTTTGTTTCCTGTCACAGTGTTGCCAACACGGCCAAGAGGGCACTGCTCATATGGCTATCCATCCTCATCTTCAACAACCCAGTCACTGTTCTCAGTGGCGTGGGCACCATCATTGTCGTCCTGGGGGTTTTCCTATACAACCGCGCCCGTGAGTACGAGCAGAGCATCCGGCGAGTGCAGGACGGGATCGGAGAGGGTGGCAAGCCCCTCTCCTCCCCAGTCTGATGGTATCTGTGCATAGCCTGTCGAGGGTGCTGTTTCCCCTGGTCACAGTGAGAGAGTGGGAGTGGCCGAGTTGGGCATTTTTACCGCAATAACATTGTAGCACATGGCATGAGCTTGCTAGTATCTGTGACTAGTTCGCCAGTGCTGCCGCATTGCACAGGAAAGTCTGAAAACCCAAATTCAGCTGTTGTAATCAAGAGGCTGTGTACAAAGTAATCATTCCTGATCGGTGCTTTGGATTTTTCCATCAAGAGAATGCTCGTTTGGAAGAGAGTTTCCAGTAAACCATGGTGACTTCATTGTCAGTGCAAGAAGCAAGTGTCGCACCAAGCCCACAGCCCCGGCCGCATATACTTCCTTCGAGGGAGTCCAACTTATTTCTTTTCTTTGGATGCTTGTCACGGTAAAAGGATCAGGCCCTTCAGACCTTGTGCCAAGGTTTTAGCTGGCTAACTTCATCACATGAATGTGATCTTGTTGAACATTTTAGAAAGCCCACTCACTGTGGATAAGATGGACTTTTTTGTTGTCGTCCACAGGGCAGTACAAAGGTGAACAGGTGTTATTGAGATAAACATGTACATTTGTATTATTTGCTATATTCATTTTATGGCATTTGAAATCATGGTGCTTGTAATGTATTTCTTTTACTTCTCATCTTTGGGTCGCGGAACCAGGTCATCAACATCTCTGTTTCTTTTTGATTTACTGTGTCAGTATTTTGTCACAAATTGACTCCTGTATGTGAGGATGTTTTCAACTCAGGGAAATTCTAACCAGTATGCACAATTAATGGTAATTTCTGCATCAGAGAGGTTGGAGATTAGCAAGCAGGTGCGGATGCTGGGGTCATGTTATGTTCCACATGCACCGTGCTGTCCAATGCACCTAGATGTGATCCTGGTGATATACACGGTATGGACAAATTCTCTGGTGTTGTCTTCGAGTCCATCACAAGTCCCTGTAAGTTTACCACAAGTCGTCCAGTCTGAAGGCCAGTCACAGGCTGTTCAGATAAACCATGAAAACACTATTATTTTCTGTTATGTTCCTCATGCCACTTGTAAGTGGCCCTATGAAAGGACTTTCGGGGAAGCTTGTGAGGGGACTTGTGGTGGAGTCAACCTGAGCACTGCAAATTCTTTTCTGCACATCACTGAGAAGTTGCCAATTGATGATAGATTGAGGATTTAACTAAAAAGTGGGACTAATCCGCAGACTTTTCATTTGTGTTTGGTCCGAAACTTGGGGACATATCGTGTTAGGTGTGGGAAAGTTATTTTTGTCAGACGTTCAGTTCAGAACCGGTGGGCTTCCATTGTGAGACAAGGAAATGGATCAGGCAAACTAAGTGTATGGAAATTACGCAGTACCTATCTGTTTAACTTAACAAACATTTTACACTGAAATAATGCTGTATCAAAGCAACAGTGTTGGATCATATTTTGAATCTAGATTTTGTGGAACTAAAAAGTAATGACATTCTTGCGAGTTTTTGGCTGCCCCTTCACCACTGTTCTGTGCTGTCTCTTGTCTAGTTTTTATCTTGATTAATATATGACTAGAGACACAATTTTATTTCAGAATTTTTTGTGGGGCAGAAAAAACGCAGAGTACATGTACATGTAATTCTTTTATTGACACAACATTCCATCACAATTCATTCAGCAGCAAGCCTCCAGTTGTTTGAATGAAATGTGACACTGTCGAGTAGTTTTGTGTTTAATGTTTAATATGGACAGTGTTTTATTTGAGTCCATCACAAGTCCCTGTAAATCTATCACAAATCATTCTTTCTTAAGCCAGTTCACGAGCTATTCAAATAAACTGTGATAAAACATTCTTTTGTCGTTGCTCACCCTGTTACATGACTGACCTTGTGAAGACACTTGTGACTGGACATGTGAAGGGTGAAAGGACTTGCGATGGACTCGAATATAACACTGTTATAGACCCTAGTTTTGTTGTTTCATTTTTCCCCGCTTGCTAGTCCCAGTGTAAGCAACATTTGGTTGCACAAAATACCATTCGGGGAACAAATATTATGCAAATAAATTACAAAGCAGCAAATTGTGCACTTTATTTGAGCAACATTTAATGCTAGCCACTTTTCAGGACAGGATTTGCAGGCGTTGTATGTGAGGGCCTTGTTTCCCATGGTTATTTCATTTAGAGATTGTGGCTCATGCACACTGAGATGGGAATACAGTGGTGCTTTTTGTTTGGTTACTTTGAGTCGTTTGGGAATTAATTTTAATTTTATGCTTAATATTGGACCCTTTGATTTTTGGGTCAGCTTTGGTTCCGCTGTAATTTTGGGAATATTGTTTATTATTGTTATTGTTATTTTTTTTGCAAAAGCTAAAATGAAAAATTATGTGAAGAGTTAATTTATGCTGCATGTTTACCATCAGTGTATAACATTTGGCATTTGTGGAATTTGATGAATGAGAAACCCCATCCTCTCCCATTGTGAGACTGTGACAGATAGTTAAGAAGTTGTTTCATTTAAGTGGCTGTGTACTTGTTTATTCTTAGTTTGGGGATTTCAGTTGGATGCAAGATGTACAAAGGCTAAGCCAAATAGGCGGAGCTAGGGCATGCTTATGGGAGGGGCATACCCTGTACCTGAATAAGCAAAGGTTCTGTACAAACTCTGATGCCATCATGTGATTGTTGGCTATCTCCTCCAACCCTGCACCTGAATCGCTTCTTCCTCACAAGATCTCCTGAGCACTGTGGATTATTTTGTCGATTGACATAAGTGAAGTGTATTTTTTGAAAAAAGTCCAGAAAATTGAAAATTGGCGTTGGGGGGGGGGTGTTGTGTTAGGGGGGCAACAAAAAGGAAGAGATTATCGGTGACTTTCAGAATGGTTGTGGTAAAATAAGTCATATTTTATTAGAAGTTGAGCTATTAGTGTGATATGGAACAAAGAGTCAAGATTCAACATTCTTTTTTTTTCAGAAGATTATGAACTTTATGCTACTTTCTTCTGCATTGGGAGTTTTTGTAATTGAATTCCTCTCTGAGTCCTCACATGCAAAACCTATTTTTTCAGTCCCATGGTATTAGTTTGCCAATCTCTTGCAGAATTTACACTTGTCTTGGTGTGTAATGACATGAGTATGGTCATAGACTTTTTAAATCCAAACAATTTTCACTCTCATTGACAACATTGAAAAACTGACATCTTTTGGTGAATTTTTTAAGCCAATTGTTTTTTTAAGAATTTTGTTTTTGAATTTAAATTTGGGAAGAGATGATTTCGATAAAATCCAGTTATTATCGAGTCTTTGATGCAAAAAAGTGAAGATCAGTCTCAACACCCTCCAGCGACAGGTCGTTCCACTCCTCCCACCTACTCAGCCCTCGCTCAATATCGCAAAATCACGTGCGACTCTACTTGAATAATTACGCGAGCGCCTGCGCATGCGCTGTATTGGGTTGTAGTCTGTTGCCCAAGAGGAGATTCTCCGTTAAAGCACTTAGTAATAGTGAATGTGGGACCCACGCAACCTGTCTCGCGTGCATTAGGCATAGGAAAGAAGGGAAAACGTGAGAAGAGTGAGAGAATTTTGCAGAGTAAAGAAGATGGCTCAGCAGGTAAAAGACATGATGGGGAGGATGGGGAAAGGCCCCGCTGGACTCGGTACAGGTGTCAGATTGGTTTTGGCAGCAGGAGCACTTGCATATGGAATCAAGGAATCTATTTATACAGGTAGGCTCCACGACCGTACCGTGAACGGTACCGGCGTGACCCGCCGCTGTAAACACGTTGGTAAAAATGGTCCGGGTTACATCAGCCATGTCGGCTGCCTTGCGGGTCTTCGTGGTTTTACTAACTGTCTACACACCGTCAACACACAAAAGTATAGTAACGCCAACACCTCCAAAATACATTTGAAATTGTTATTCATCAGTCTGGATTTTCTGGTGATACTAAGCATGCGTACGGCGTGGTTTTGGACGTGCGTGTACCGATACGCTTACACCGCATGGTCTGCATCAATAAAAATATGCGCATTATAATTTTTGCCAGCTACCCTAATTTCACTAGGCATCAGAGTTTCACCGACCGCAAAGTCGCCACAACAAATTAAATTATTTTAAATAAGATTGCACTTTGAAAACCCTCTCTATTGTCTCTTCAAAACTATGTGAAATGGAGTAAATCAGCAGAAGAAATTACAACGCAACTGTGTCCGGATGTACCTGTACCAAACTGTGAATGACAGCAGTGGGATGCTTCATGCTGTCACCTGAATGGTCAGAACAATTCATTTGCATATATATGCATGACTGGTTGCGGTGGGAAAACACGATGCAAAGTGTGAGGTCAGAATAACCTGCTGTAATTGGTCAATCATAAAATCTTTGACCCTTTAAGAACAACTGATTAAGACATACAATCGCTCTTTGCTCCAGTGGCAATTACATGTACATGTATAGGGACGTGGCGAGTATACCGTCATGCACATTACTACGGTACGGAGGGAGTCCAGGATATAGAGGGTCAGAAATGGGGCAAAAAATTTCATAACTGAATCTTTTGCCACTTCTAGGCATATATGTACCTCTTCCAAGGGGCCAATTTCATGTCTGTAACTCCTGTGGCATGCACTCTTATATCCACAGCTGGTGGGTTAAGAAATTCAACACACTACCACAAAAGGCCTTGGCCTAATAATCTCGGAAGTAACCTTAATTTTTGCCATTGTTGTGGACTGTTTTGATCCATTCTCCAGTGCAGTTTATACAGCGTGCATGCACAACTATTTGGCATATGAGATTCCGAGCTGCATACACGCACACTAAAAGCACACGCAACGTGGTTCTCAGCTCCGAATACAACATTAGGCCAGGGGTGAGGCTGTGGCGTGTGTTGGTAATGGTTGGCCTTGTTACCTGCATGCAAGCTGAGCCTACTGCTGGGAAGATGAAATCTAGGATTTGTACAATTCCTGGCCAGTTTTTTAGCATTAACATTCCAAGCCTTTGTATGAGATGTCAACAGGTGGACTTAAAAATAGACTGACGAAAGGTGTCCACAAAATTCGATAAAAGTCAAGGGACACCCAGCAGCAGGTGTATCCAGCTTTTTGTGTCAAGGGAGGAGGGGGCATTATCCAGCAAGGCTTTGGCAAATTTCGCTTGCTTGCTAGCAAGTAAAATTTGACTCATATTTGTCGATTTGTCCCATTTTAAAAGTTATACCGAATACTCTTTTTAGGGATGGAGAACTTTTTTCAGAATGGGCAGGCACATATCAGTTTTTTTTTTTAATGAACTAGACTGATATGAGAGTCAGTGACGGCAATTAACAATAATCTCCTGGGCCTTAACTTAAAAACAAATAATCACAGATTTTGATTAATTGAGTATTTTGAAATACATGTAGCACATTGTTTGGGGATCCATCGCCTGATAGTCAGACAGAACTCAGCATGACCAAAAGCTTCCACCTCCTAAAACAAGCCAATGAATTTTAAACCCAATGACAAAGATGTTGACAAAAAATTGGAAAGCACTTATGATTACCGAGGACTAAAAATCGGTGTTCCCAATCAATCGCTCTCGCCTGTTCATCACGATCATCATGCCCACAATGTGATCCTCTTTTTTTCTCATTTTTCAAGACAGTTACTGTTTCATTTTTAAAAATCATATCTCTGCAATAGTGTGTTTTTATACTGTTTCTTTAAAATCTTTTAAATCTGTATCTTTTTATACTTTATCTTTAAACAATAAAAATCTATGAACAAATGAATTTCAAAGAGATCTTAGATGGCCGTTGTTCCCATTACAAGCACCATGCATGTATGTACTTATGAAGCCTGCTCTGCTGACCAAGGTTATTATAGCATAGTGGGTTGTTTTGCATAATTTTCATAAACCCAAATGTAAAGCTGAACAAAATACATGTATGAACACACCGTTTAGCCAAAATATGCCCTTTTGAAAAATTCTTCACTATCATATACTGCTTCTTTGGAAGTGATTTAGAGGTGTTGATGGGGTGTTGATGTTGTGTTTAGAGTAATTAGTACAACCAAAAAGTATTGTTGTCTGTATACATGTGGTTTAATTAAGAACGTGTTATTGAGGTGACGATGGTGTTAGCGGTGTGTTGATGGTGCTGTGCATGTTTACGATCTGTCGATGGTACTTGCTGCTTACCATAAGTCCATGTGCACGGGCATGGCCAGTGAGCAGTTGTGGCAGTGATGTTGGAGATCATCAGGGAGTCCAATGGATTTCATCTTTTTAAACAAATCAGATAAGGTTTTTACAAGCCTTACAGACACTGAGATAGCCTAGACATGTACAACTCGCATTCAAGTCACAACACCATGTGGCAGCTATGTGTATCGCTCTTTATGAGTTTTCAACGCCATGGGTTTTTGAATACAGCCCATTTCTAATCAAAGCTGCTCAGAGTACATTTACTTCAATCAAAAATCTCACTTCTCAATCAAATCTTCCCAAAAAAGCCATCTGAACCGATCCATAGCACATGTTCGTATCTGTTAACAACTTATGACCGAGGGTTTTGACATGTTTGAGACCATTTGTCTGACTTTCTTTGAAAGAAGTCAGAGGTTTTATTCATCACCATCTCCTTCTCCTTACCATAATGATCTAAACGGGTCTTACTGATCACTGTCAACATACATACAAGTGATCCTGGTTTGAAAGGACAGAAATGTGCCAGGCAAAGCCGGCTGGACTATCGTGTTTAAAGTTGCAACATGTCGAGACTAGTTCTTTTCACTGATGCATCAGCGATCTAAATTGTCATTGAATGGATTCAAAACACATTTTACTCATTTCCTTTTTTCTGACAATTTATTGGCAAGTAAAAGTAAAGCAAAACAGCACTTGCATTTCTGAAATTTTGCTCATTCCTGTCAAGTTACATTGTAACTGTTATGGCCTAGCTGCAGTCTGAAAGCAATCTGTTATGTCTGTCAACCCAAATTACCTCCCCTTTGTTCCTAATGTCAGTGGACGGTGGCCACCGTGCTGTCATCTTCAGCCGTATTGGAGGAGTCCAAGACACGATTTATGCAGAAGGCTTGCACTTAAGGATACCCTGGTTCCAGTACCCGATCATATACAACATCCGCTCCAAACCTCGGAGAATCTCCTCACCCACAGGAAGTAAAGGTATGTAGGGACACCTTGCGTCTCTTCCAGCGACCTGTAGTGACAGGCCGAAATTACTGAGGACTGGCACTTTCTGCTTGTGCACTTACAGACCCCTTGTTGGGTGCATACATGTAGTTTCAACACTGGTGAATACATCTTTAGATTTCCATCCACAGAGTGGGTACCAGGGAAATATGAGCTTGGATACCACGTACGGATATCAATTTCACACATTTTTTTTGCTGAGAGTTGAGAGGCAGTTTGTAGTGTTTCCTAAAAGAAGACGGGCGGGAATTTCAATCCCAGATGGAACCCCGGGGATATCACAAGTTTATCCTGGACAGACTGACTTGCGCACAAAGTTCTAAAGTCAGCCAATTTTACTCACCTTTATCCAGTGCAATTTTTTTCCAAGGCAGAGGTGAGGCTTGCAGAAATTGGCCAATTATAGGGTCCCAGTTCACATGTTGAAGTGGAGGTTTTCTTTGAACTTTTTGCTCTAGAGAGTGTGTGGGATAGTGATTACAATTTGAAATGCAATACAGACAGGTGGGTGACGCACATTTGGAGAGATCTGATTGAGGGGACACTAATGCGGAAAGAATTTGTGGGTTTTTAGAGACACGGTCATGACGGTATCCAATGTGACTTTCCAAAAGGCCAAGCACATATGCACATCAGTGTATGGTTGTGCTGATCGGTAGAACTCGTGCTGATCTTGCTGTACCTGAAATGCTTTTGGAATACCAAACTACATTTAATTCTTGAGTGTGCATTTACATGTACATTGGATTCAAACTTGGGTTTAGACTTGATGAAAGCTTTGAGAAATTTAATGTAAACGATTCTCATATTGTAAATAGCAAACAGTATTTGAGCTGGGGGAAAGACCAGGTTTAGTAATATTGTGCACAGACATCATACACTTTTAAATTTCCCTTGATTTGTTTCGGATGCACATTGAGCAGATCTCCAAATGGTCAACATCAGTCTGCGTGTCCTGTCCAGACCTGCCGAGGCCAACCTTCCCAGGATCCTCCGCCAGCTAGGCACCGACTATGACGAGAGGGTCCTGCCATCTATATGCAATGAGGTAAAGGTGAAAGGTCAAGTTTGTCTTTGGCCTCTCATGCTCTGGGATGTGATCATTTGTATTCCAGCAGACCCATAGCATTGGTGATGTCACACATTGTTGACATACACTGTGCACATCTTCCTGAGGAGCCAATGGGGGCCCTACGGTCTACTGAGCACCACGGGAAAGCATGCACCCAAACAAAGTGTGGTTTCATTAGTCGACAAGTCTTGTGATGTTCAGCCATGTGGTGAAGTGTGACCATGCCAACCAGGCTAACTGTGTCATACTGATGTTTTACAACGCCTTTCTCCAATCTTTAATTTCTATGCTAGCAAAAAGAATCAAAGTAAAAAAAAAACAATTCTGCAAAACCTTTGGTAGTTATGGGCTATGAAAGTTGCAGAATTTGATTTACGTGGGCCATCTCCATCAGTATCATCTTCAGCCTGGTTTTGCATTGGTAGGCCACCAATGCGTATAACAAGGTCAAAGGTTGTCATGTGTGGCACATGTTCCTCAACTAGTGTCTCGAGCTGCTGCTGCTGGATATTTTGCCATTGCTGAAACACGTGTAGTTGTTAAAACACAGGGCAAGTTTGATCAAGGACCACTAGTGAACTACATGTAGTGGTTGGTTCGTCATGTACCGGTACCTAGCGCATGTGCAGTGTAGTTTAAGTGCGAATAACCCTAGTCAACCGTTGTCAGGTCATTAGGCCGAAGGGAAGAAAAGATTGCCACAGGAAGGGCAAAATAGCAAAAATAAAAGTGAAAATGATTGTTTACTAGTGACATACTATTTTATGGCATTTATCTTATAACTGTCCCTCTCGGCACTGAGCTACACATGTACATATATTAAAAATGGTTTATGGCAATGAATGATGCCACCAACCTCGATAGCAGGGTTCGACCTTAATGTTGGTCCACTAGCCAAATTTGAGTAAAAACCGTGGCAATCTAGCGAAAGCCCTCATCTGGGTAGTCCGGCGGTCTAGTAAAACAATATTCTGAAATAAGTGGCGAAACAGTTAATCGTGATACATGCCCTGTAGCTGCTGCTGGTGTTTGAATCAAATAAAATAGGACCTCTTGCAACCAAGACTGGTTCAGTCCCTAACACCAGCCCAGCAGAAGAAATGCTGAAGTCTATGAATGCAGCAGCAGTAAATCGTCTGAAACTTCTTTTTCGCAACACCCATGCGGCGCAATCGCTGTACTACCACATACGACCGGTCTGGACAATGCTATGATGACTTGACGTTGGTTCTGCGTACAAGATCTAAATCAGCATGCGCTTTCGTGCATTGCATCGCAGAGGTACATGTAAGTCATGAATATGCATCCCACGTGTATGGCGTACCGTGTGTGTATGGTGTGCGTATGCATTACGTGTGCTATGAATATGCAATACTGGTTTTTCCGATTGGTCATTTGTAGACATGAGTTGTTACACCACCGATGTCGCTGTTGTGGTTTCGTGTTTGGTTCGCGAACGAACATGTACGATACATACATGTACAGTACATGTGCATTTCGCTGGGGGTACATGTGCTTGTACACATGTACTGCATAGAACATACCGGTACATGCGCATGTACTGTACATGTACATAAACTGTTCATAACGATATGGAATTTTTTTTTCTGTCTCATGGATTGTGAACAAAACAAACTATTTCAGCAAGTAACCATTTTTGTGTGTTTAATTTTCTTGAGTAGAGTTATAATCATGACAATTGTGGAAATTCTTAAGTCCCATGGCCATTTATTTTATGATTACTCATCAATTCAATAACAGTCAGCACTGAATGCACACTGCTACATGTATGCATGATGTGGGAGCAGAAAACACTACTGCCAAAGAAGAATGTTGAAATTGGGGGGAGACGAGGATGAGTGAAAATGCTGGCAGACTAATAAAAAGCCATCTCTGCTGGTCTTGCCGGCAAGTGAGGAAAAAAGTTATAAGGGCAAACCCTGGATAGGCTGGTTGCATATACATGTTGTTGACTAGACCAGTCCAACCATTTTTGACTAGCGTGTGTTTGATCAGAGTTAGTGGATCTGTGGTTAACTATGGTCTTTGATTGAACTTGAACCCATGAAGTGAGGCATGGATTTACATTGGGCACGTACATGTAGTCATGATAGTGCATCTACTGTATCTACATGTATTCCACATACATGACGGTCGAGACTGGGTGAACTTGAAGGTTGATAGGTCCCAAAGAGCCTGTGAAATTTTGCCATATTTATGTGTCAGGTAAAGAAAGCAGTGAAATACATGCTGCTCAGAATGGAAACCTAGGTGCCATTGAGGATCATCAAAGTCATTCAACGTACCTGTGTTTGTATGTACATGTACGGTTTGTGGGAATTTAATATCTGAACAACAGAAAACTATTGGTGCTCATCTTTTTTAAACTCATGTACATTGAACAATTTTACATGTTACTGCATTTTCAGGTCTTGAAGAGTGTTGTTGCGAAGTTCAATGCATCGCAGCTCATTACGCAGAGACAGCAGGTAAGATGGGATGAAAGCTGCATTAACACAAGGGATTGTGATCATATGCATTGGATCATTTGCTGTATCAGGAAATACGTCTGGTTAAACTTGCTGACTTGGATACTGCAAAGGGAAGCTTTCATATATGCATGAGGCCCATTGAAAACACGCAACACTCACTGCAGTAATAGTGAATGCAATTCGGAGACTTGAGTAGCAGTACTATGCTTTTAGGAGGGGTCTGCAGGGCCTGATCTGCTGGTGAGTATCCTGTGAAGTTAAAACTTGTCAACAGAGTTGCCAAGGTAGTCACCATTGGCAAATAACATGGAGAAGATCTTTGATAGACTGAGATTGAACAGTGGGTTAATTCTGGTAATCTTTTCCATATCCTGACAATACTTTGAAGCATTGTTAATGTCCGCTAGTGCTGTATTTCCTGTTTGCTGATTGTTCATGATCGTTTTCCCCCCTCTACTCGGGTCCCCTGTAGGTGAGTTTGCTGATTCGTAGGCAGCTGACGGAGAGGGCTAGCGACTTTGGGCTCATCCTGGACGATGTCTCCATCACAGAGCTCAGCTTCGGTGAGAAAATTCCTCTGTTTTTTGTGAAATTGTGGCACAGCATCAGCCCAACAGTTTGATTCGTTTGTCCCGATTCCCATTGGCATTGATTCTTTGTCCACTGAGCTGTGCAGGAATGAGAGATGGTACACAAAGCACTACATTGTCTGGATGTATAGATTTGCGCATGTTTGGCACTGAGCACACAGGACCACTTTCTACTGCTATGCACGGTCCTTGCATGGGCATCGGTGTCCACCCATGTAGAAATAGTCTTTGCTACAACTATGACAACTCGGAATGTCATCCAGCTTGAACAAATTGTGAACTTTTATTGTTTTTTGGCCCTATACCAGTGTGTATTTAAAAAATGTTGTACACTCTGTTGTCCGAGGACTCGTAAAAAATTCACCTACCTACTCAGGTGGGACTTGAACCCAGGGTCTCCTGAGTGTTAAGACTTGGATGTTTTCCTGTTTTATGTCCACAGGCAAGGAGTACACTGCAGCTGTGGAGGCCAAGCAGGTGGCCCAGCAAGAGGCCCAGAGAGCGATGTTCCTGGTGGAGAAAGCCAAGCAGGAGAGAGCCCAGAAAGTGGTCCAGGCAGAGGGTGAAGCGGCCGCCGCCGAAATGATATCCTTCCTTTGATATTACAAAAAGACCACCCATGACCGTGCATAGTGCCCAGGGCACTTTGCAGCCGGGGGCGTGTTTTACATTTTTGGGACTAGATTTGTTGTGAGTGTACAGAGTGAAGTTAAATGCTGCATAGTAATTATAGTGCTGCATGGCACTGTGTGTTTTGTTGCCTTGTCATTCATCAAATGCTACGGTAATTCTTATTTGTGATCTTCAAAGAGAAGTTTTCTTGCTTTTCCTGTACTGTCATGTGATGATCACCAATTCAGTGAGGAGTCTGTCCACCTCAGTCACCAACAGCAATACCCTTCCCATAATTCCATCATGAGAGGAATAGCGTCTTGTGAGGAACAGTCTGTTAAATCTTGATGGGTGGTCAAAGGGGGCAACTTTGATGTGGCTTCCCTCCCGTGGCTGCACATTGTAACCTCAGACTGACAAATCCCTGTTCAGGGGCCACAGGTGTAAAAAAGACTCCCCGGCTGTTGGAGATTTGACCACTGGGAATCCACTTGTGGTAAATGGGGTGGGAGGGGCTTGGGGGGAATTTTCTGAGGGTGGGGTAATGGGCCAGGGTGCTGGATTGTAGGTGGATAGGCCGCCGTGAACTCTTCTTTAGTAATCTGATGGCAGTGCATTTGTTGCTTTGATTTTGGAGAGGTGCCCATGCATAAATGGAAATTTGTGATGTCTTTGGTAGCAAGCAGAATTGTTCTTGCTGCATTGCACATCTACCAGCCATGTTCTACCCAGAGACCTGGGCAAGCAAGAAGCAACAAGCGAGAACTCACAAACATTTACTGTAGGGGCAGTCATGTTATCCATCTTTGATTTTTGGCATGGGTTAAGCTGGGAATGGTTGTAGTACTGGGATGAGTTTGCATCTGAATTATTCAAAGTAGGGTTCCTTGACTCTGATCTCACTTAGGCAAGGCCATTGCTGAGAATCCAGGGTACCTGAAGCTGAGGAAGATAAGGGCTGCCCAGAACATTGCCAGGACGGTGAGTGGAGGAAACGTCATTTGTCCCATATTTCTTATCTCACTAAGCTCTGCTGCTTCCCACTATGCCTGACTGGGTTCTGGATACTTTCTTTGAACTGTTGACACAAATATGTAAAGTTCCTCAAATTCAATGATAAAGGAGTACTTTGTGATAAACCTTTGCAAGTCAAATTTGAATAAAATCTAGTACACGGAGCTATCTGATTGCACCTAAAGATAACAATTTGAATTCCCCAGACCAAAGACAGTGTTACTATACCTTGTGACTCGAGGCAAACTTTTGCATAGCGACCACCATCTCTAGATTGGACTGGTTCCTTTGTGCCCTTCTTATCCATTTAAAAAAATGTATCGTTGCAATGTTATCGTGCTCTTATGTAGCTAAGCAAAAGCCTGGTCCAAATCACGAGGTGTAGCAACAGTGTCTTTAGTATGGGGAATTCAAATTGTGTTCACGTGAATTTAAAGAACTCAGTGTACCACATTTTAATTAAATTTAAATTACATGAGGCTTATTGAAAGATGCACAGTATCTCCTCAGGAAACAGCTACCTACTTGTCAACAGCCCGGGTCTTATTTGTCGCCCTGGTCTTCTCTCACGTTGTGAAACTATTGCTCATTTGTGCACCTTGCTACAGGTGGCTTCATCTCAGAACCGGGTCTTCCTGAATGCCAGCAGTCTGATGCTCAACCTCGGGGACAAAGAATTCTACGAAGACTCGGAGAGACTCGGCAAGGCTTCCATCAAGAAGTAGCCCCAGGATACTAAAAGCTTTGACAGCTTTAGATCGCTTCGCACGAGGTGGCAGTTAATTGGCCAGTTTGTCACAGAGGAAAGAATAAGAAATGTATGGATTTATTACAAAAAACTGATCTTGGTTAAAAAGGGACCTTTTTACATTTTTCCGCAGGTGGACGTTTGATTTGCTCATTTTCCTCAGATTGTATTGTTGGATGGTTGCTAGTTTTACTCCCTCCATGCCAAGATGACTCAGGATGCATAACCCCAACCTTTCCTTAACTGCTGTTAGTGTGTTGTAGTTGTCAAGAGTTTAGGTCAAGCCAAGGACAGCATGTTTAAATGAAAAAATTTTGGCATTTCGAATTTGTTCTTACATAGAGCATGTAGATCATATTAGGCTGTGTAGCCTGAATGATTTAAAAGGACTCTTTTAAGTTTTAAGTTCCATTCATGATTGTTATAATTACGGTTTTATCCTTACCGAGCACCAGTTAGTCTGTAATGGAATCAGTTGTATCGGCCTCATTGAAAATTCTTAATGTATGATCTATCTGAGGCTATGAAGTCCATTGCAGTGCCCAGCTTTTCTTTACAGACCCCCAGTCATTTAAGGTTTGCTAAGATAATAGTCTTTGCCCTTTTTTAATACCATTATCTGATCATGGAAGCTAAGTTAGTGTGTCAGTTTTCACTGATGTCAATGGTTCAACTTCTACAATTTCTGTTTGGAAAAGACTTACATGTATCTGATATTGTGCATGATATGTTTGTTATGATTGAGAACTTAAAAACAGACTTGCAGTGTACATGTACACAAATGAATTGGATTAAAAAAGAGCCAAAAGAAAAAAAAATCAAGAGTTCTGTTTTTGTTTCAAAAAGGAAGTGGTTGAATTGGTAAAAAAAAGTGAAAATTACCCTGGAGAGAGCACTCTGCACTGAAATGTCGCTCTGTAGCATTTGTGGTGTCGATTTACTGTGCAATGTCTTATCTAGCACAGGTTTGAGTTCTGCAGTTGTTTGTGCACCATTAAACTACTCTACCATCTTACTTTCTGAGAAATTCTAACATCTTCCCTACAAACAAAATGTGTAACTCGCACCAAGTTATACGTGAAGACATTTTATTTTCAATTATATAATCACTGTTAAGTACCATATAGCCCTGTCCACTTCACTAAATGTTCTACATATTAAAGTGAACTGTTTTTTAATATTTTTTACAATAATGCAATATAATTCACCAGGTTTGATAAAATTAATGTTTTACAATGTACAGATGGTAGGTACACGTAATTTCAGTTGGTAATAAATCACTGCTGTGTACATACATTTTTGACAAATCCATCATGCATGATACATACCTTTAAAACTAAAGTTATAGGCCAATACCTTACACAGGCTTTGAAATGACCTGATACGACTTAACAGTTGTCTGTTTAGGCAGAGGCTAGTGTATTAAGTTAATACATCTCCATTAGAACGAAATCCGTTGAAAAAGTCTGTCTTATAGAAGTTTACTTATGGCCTCTTATTTACATCACTACAAATATACACATTAATAAAACAATGGCCTCAAAATGTGATTTGTTTTGGTCTTCTGAATGTGTTGCCGACTGCTGTAACAAGGGAAACTCTGCCTTTCGCATATACTTTGTAAATAAAGTTACTGTGCCAATGATACAAGCTATTTCTTTAATCTTTAACTTCAGAAGAGGAAAACTTGCATGTTCATCACATTTTAAAAGGAATTTCACATTTTAAAACTTGGCTACAATGTACATTCATTGATATATATACATTTAAAAGAAAAAAAAGGAATCTTGTTGAATCTCCAGTTGACATTTGCAGCTGAATGGTCAAATGTAGATGTCTGCTTAGGATATAAAGCAGGTCACAGGAAGAAATCAAAGCAAGGTTCTCACATTTTTCCTTCACAAATTCTGGGAGAAGGTTGAGATAAATCCTGAACTCTAAAATTCTTTGTGTGAATAGACCTGACAACATAATGACCCCATGCTTTGTTCATGCACTTTCCTGTGGCGTCTTGATGGATCGTGTCCTACCTCACTACCACAGAAGAGTGCATGTGTAAACAAGATGCAATGTTACTATAGATCTGCTGCAAAGCTGTATACTTCAACTTGCATTGATTACAAATAGAGGTGTTAAATTTTACAGTGCTCGGAAACAAGGTCAGCAACAAGTTTTGAAGTCACAAAACAGATGGCAAAGAAGAGTGATTCTGCAAAACAATACGGTAAAAATATAAAGTGACAAACTGGTGGTAGAGTTGAACTCTGAACTGTACATGGAACTGCAAAATGCTCAGAGGAATTCTGGATTTTTATCTGGTGGAAGCATTTAAAGACAACAACAGGAGGAAGATAATTTGCTGAGAGTTTTGAACGTGTAATACACGTAATTTACAACAATTATATTTGTGCCCTGTCATCCTGAGAGAACAAAAGCTGAAATTGACTAGATGGAAATATGTGTAGTTCCAGGTCTTCCCCTTTAATATACAAATGTTTTTCAACAGCTTGAGTATGAATTGGATTATACTTGAAACCTTGAATCATGAAAAGAAAAACCTTATAGAACTGTCACAAGCTTTCACATCAAGACACTGCAGGCAATGGCAAAATAAGCTTTGCCCTGTTTGGTCTTGGAGGGGGCATGCTCAGACTAGAACAGGAGCGTTAATTCTTGCTGTGTTTATTGTCCAGGAGCAAACTAACCATGCTCAAGAGTACATGGACTTGGTGCACAAGTTATACCCTGGAACGGTGGCTCTTCAAAATGGTGCTGTCAGGACACTTCACTGGTGTGCATCAATTCTCAACATGACAACTGGAGAATGGATGGAAGCCAGTTGTAATGAAGCTTACACTTCAGGCCTAAACCAACTGGCTGTTGCCAAGAGTCAGTGACTTGTCTATTGGAAGCGGCTATAGCCACAAGACAAGCCACTGTTACAGCATCCAGTCGTAGTGGCAATTTTCAGACACCAAGATCTTGACTGAGAAAGAAGGCATGTTATATTAAATATGGGCAAAACCTCAAAAAGTTTGCACTGTCTTTAGTCAGTGCTCTGACTCCAAATCCCTATCAGTGAGACATATCCTGCTGACAGGTTTTTTTTACAGTAAGTAGTTTATATTAGTAATAACATATTTACCCACAAGTAGGAAAGTTCAACTGTCCCTGGCATAATAATATTAGTGTTTGCTCTTTACTGCATCATTTGGAATTTGTTCAATATGCATAAACATGCTCTTTGAAAGTAAAAGTTAAGGCAAGGAGCGGGAACGAAAGTTTGCTACATTAGCAACCACTGCCTGTAAGAGGGAAATCAAGTCCATGTTAATTGGTTTGCAAAGCTGACAAAAGTAAGTAGTCATTGAGGAGTATTGAGTATGCCGTTGGGTCAAAGACAAAAAGACAGAGTGTCAGAAATGCCCAGTAAGACTTGCTGGGTCTGATGAAGACAAAAAACTCCCACCTCTTTCCTGCACAGAAATTTTGTACATTTCATACTGCAGGAAATAATAAATGGTTTCTTTCATTCATTTCAAAATTTCAAAATTTGAGATGCAAAGTAAAGGAGATAAAAGGACAGAAAAACTCTTCCAGTGACAAAATTCTGCTGGGACCAAAGTGTAAGGTACTTTCTTTTCATATTTAAAAAAATCTGTTTAAATGTAGGTAATGTATTAACTGCTGAATTACAAAGATGTGTCTCAACAATTCATGGGTTAAGTACTTTGCTCAAAGAACGAAAAATTCATCCTTAAAATCTTTTCCGTGAGTCCTTTAAATGAGGAACAAAGACACTGGTTACTGTTAAACTGTTTAAAATGTGCTTAGTACAATGTACATGTGATCAGTCTCAACAACATTGCTCTTTTTTTGTAAGGGCAAGTCACATTTCCAAAGCCCAGCTTAGAAAATTGCTATATTATATTTTTTTAAAACTGATTTAGCATCGTGCAATACATGAAAAAGATATATTTACAAAAGTCTGATCCTTTACAGTTTGATATAAGGTATGCAAAAAGTGTCTCTCTGAAAATTTCAATAAATCAAGGCATGTACCTGAATATTTCGGTGAAAAGACTGGACAACTACAATATGTATGAATGTTTAAACTGGAGATCAAAGCGCTAACAGTTAAGATGTCAGTTGTGGTTCGAATTCTACTGGCTATGCCTGCCCTCTTAAAAAATCCCTGTCTGTTAATGTTTCAGTCTAATTCTAATGTGGTCTATATAATGAGCTGAAAGCTCAACTGGCATTTTTGTCAAACTCTACAAAGTTAGCATTAAGTAAACACTGTGATTTTTCCCAGAATTTAGTGCCAGCTTCTTTCCACCTTTCAATAGCTTGTTGTTGAGTAGAGCCATACTTTCATCAGAACTACTGCGCTGTAGTTGCTTGCGACGTCGAGGAGGTGTGGGGTGGCACTGCACCTTTCTGGTTGAGGGTAATGATGAACATGATTGCATGGTTGAGCACTGTTTCTGTGACACATGTGTATCGGCTCCATCCGATTCTGCCTCAGCGGTCCTCAACAGGATATCAGGCTGGGATTCTGAATAACTTTCAGCTTCTACGGTAGGCTTACTGCCATTGGCCAACGTCTGATCCTGCTTCATCTTGAAGATGTCTGCAGCTGAGCGAAGATGAATGGTCCTAACCTGGGAAATCATCACAGGCTCAGCCCGCCAAAGCTTTAACTGTGGGGAATGCTTGTGACTGTCCTTTGCTTGTGGTGGTTTGAAGTTGGTGGGCAGGCCATACCTTGATATGTGGTCTTCGTAGCTGGGTGGACTCTTGGTGCCTGTTAATCTTGGTGGCAATGAGTTTGACTTCTTACAGTCATCAAAATAACTGGGCAGCCTTTGTGCTTCCCTATGCTTTGCAGGATGGTCACTTGTGTTGAAAGAGCTGCAAAAGTGCCGATCCATTTGACTTGATAACCTTAGTTGGGACAGGTGGCTTCTGTACACCATCTGTGGAGGGTCTGGGGGATGTAAACCATCGCTGAACGACTGGCTGCTGAGTTGGTTAGAATTTCGAACGAATTCTTCTTGCTCACTCATGACTGTGCATCTTGCTGCCGGCTTCGGCATAAATCTCTGATCTGTGATGGCTCCCAAGTTTGGATTATCTCCCCGAAACCCCAGGCCATTTCCAATGGACCCTTTTCTAAGGCTTGCAGTGACTTCACTCTCCCAGTTTGACCTCTTTTCCATGAATGCTTTCTTTCCTGATGAGCTTGGTGGCCAGGACAGTCTTTTTTTGTACCTGTCATCAGCCAGACAGGACATCACTTTAGATCGGCATTTAATGCCACTGACAAGTGGTGAGTATGGCTTTGGTCCATCCACCCTCCCCGAGAAGCTTACAGGAGACCTCTGTGTTTCTCGTGCTACAGAGGCAGAGGGACGTTTGGTATCTCTGTATGTAGGGCCAGTGGAATGACAAACTGATTGGTCTTCGAAACTGCTCCTCTGCCAATGCTGGACAAGTTCAGAGCGGAATTGCTGACACTCGCTGGGATCAAAGATGTCCTCCAGTTTGAGAGGGGAGAGACTGATGGAGTTCTTTGATGGTGATGTCTTTGACAGAATGTCTTTGGGTACAGACGCAAAGGGTGGGACTTCCACGACCGTATCGCTGGAAGATGTAGACGAGGCATTAGAAGATGAGGATGTGGAACTTGACGAGTCATCTGCATCACTGTCATCATCACTGCTGTTATCGCTCTCATTTCCATCATTGTCAACCATCCACTTGGGGTACTGGACAGCATCTATCTGGATAGCATTGCCAGATTTCTCTTTTCCCTGGTTGTGGCTTGCCTCAACTTCCTGTGTTTGCTGCACTTTGTCAACCACCAGCAACTGCAATGAGAACCTTCCATTGTTGTTCATGTCATTATTACCGGTGGCTGACTTGGCGTTTGTTGGTGCAGGGCTTGGACTACCTTGGACCTTTCCATATGCTGTGCTGTCAGATTGTGAAATTTGGCTGCCACTGGATGTTTGGTTTTGCTCTGTGTCTGACTGGTCATAGTCATTCTGTAACCTGTTGAACAAAATGTGGGGGTTGTCTTTGGTTGGGCCTTCGCTATCTCTATTCTGCTCTTCAGTGCTTGCCATTTCTGGATCCTTCTGTTCTGGAGAAAAAAGGTCAGATGCCTTTTTGTCCTGAGAGCTATTTCTAAGCAAGTTGGAGGAGGTGCTACTCTCACTGTCAGCGTTACTAACATTGCTGATGACATCATTACCAGAGACCAACAACATATCATTGCCACCACAATTGGCACAGCAGTCTTTGTTATTGCAGATGCTGCCTTTCTCATCAGTGTCATCGGAAAGACTGACATCACTCTGAGTAATACTGACAAGATCTTGGCTGCAAGCAGAAGAAGTGGAATTGGCATATTTGTCATTCATCAGTCTTGATTCACAATCATTTGTGATATCAGTGAAACCTTGAGTTTCCTTCTTGTGCTTGTTAAACACAGTGTCAGACTCTGAAACCAATGACATGGTGACTGACACAGAACTGGCTGCCCTTTGATCAAAGGTGACATATGATTCATCTGCTGACTCAGCAGAAGGTTGCAAGAACTCGGCAGTATCATCGTAGATGATCCTGGATCGTCTCTCCACAGTGCCTCTGGAAAACGTGCCAAGGTTTGGGGAATTAGGGGTGAGGAGGGGACTACTGCAGGAGCTGGAAGGGCTTCTTGATGGGCTCAGACCTAGGGTCTGGTTTGGGATGGAAAAGGGAGGAGGCCTGCCCTGTCTTGGGAGGCCCCAGTTGTGAGAGTTGTGCTCCTTGACTACCTGCTGGGAAGGAGTGTCATCATGTTCACTGGCATCAGAGAGAAATACATCATCACTGTCATCGTCTGAGGAATCTGTGCCATCTGATGTGGTTTCCACTTCTCTGCTGCAATCACCAGGACAAGCTGTGTGACCAGACTGCTGTGTTGTCTGATTTGGAGGTACAGCATTTGGAGTTTCCTGTTTGTCAGGCCCGTGGCTTGGGGAGGCCTCTTTGAGTAGGTCAGGACAGGGGTCATAGCTCAGATCTGGACTGAAACAGTCTTCAAAAACATCCTGGACAAACTGCTCATAGCTTAATGAGCTGACCAGGGACTCCGTCTCGCCACTCTCTACATCGCGTGGCAACTCCTCCTCTGTCAACAAATTTACCGTGAAGGTTCGTTCCACTGCTGTGTAGCTTCCCTCAGACCAAAGGCTCACTTTCTGCTCACGGACAGCCTCAAAAAGTGTAGAGGGTGGAATGTCTAGTGCCATGACTGTAGGAAGGTCATCAACTGAGATGGAGAAGGTCCCATCAGCTTCTAGCCTCGTTTTCACTGGAGAATCTAAGATCTTATTGACGGCTGTATCAGTGCAAGGAAGGGCCAACTCAAAGTAAAGTTGGGAAACCTCTTCTGTAAAACAAACACAAAAGACAAACATCATTTTCGTTAAATGAGATTACTTATCTCTCTTTCAAACTCAGTTATAAGGCATAAAATTAATGAAATATGACAAAGTGAATACTGTATAACAGACATGTCAGTACTTGCATTTGCCAAACCTCCACATATTTCATGCACACTGTGATTCACAACGGCTTTTTGTTTACTCTTTACAAAACAGGTCACATACTGCCAATTCTCTGACTCAGACATGCACTTTCTAAAGAACACACACACACAAAACAGCTCACACCTTCACATACAGCTAAGTAGACATCCAGACAAGCACAGTACACAACAACCTAGTGAAGAAAGCAAGCACAAAGCACAAACTTCACTGACCATTATGGCCACATAAATTGACAGATTTAACGTTTTTATGAAATAAAGAAAAAGGAACACTTGTGCAAGCTTACAGAAAACAACAATGCCAGCCAAGAGCTGCAAAAAGGAGTGAATGATAATTAGGTCCAATTTCTTGATGCTACTGAAGATTTTGGCATTTATTGACAGGGAATTCAATGTGACTTGTATACACATTGCCTGTATGATTCATATGACATTGACCACTCTTTGATGAAGGGCATATGCATATGTAAACCTGCAACAGTGGCATGTACAAATTATCCTAAACATTGGCAATTCTCCAAGGTTTTAGACGCACACACTTAGCAGCCAATAGAGATGACTCGGTGTGCATGGTACTGTGATTCTGCCCACCCTTATGGCAAATGGTCGTCATAGCAAATATCACAGTGACAGTGCCTTGGAGTGTTAAACATATGAAGCAATGATGACAAGTGTCAAAGAGCTCTTTTACAAGTGAATCTTATTCATCGGTGTTTGTAGTGTCCACTTATAAAAAGTGGCCATGATACCAAGCCACCTTTAATATCAGGCTTTTGGGCCAAACGTAATAATACCACAGGTGTGGCTGGTAGTGACATAAAAACCATCTTCAAGCAGTTAAGCAGCTTCTTGAAATTGGGCCTGTATTTTAGCATGTGTATCTCAGCCATTTTAACCTCAAACACATGAAAAATGCACCCGTCTCCAAACTCTACAGCCATGCCACCAACCATCCAGAATTTTGCCCCATCCTTCCATCGGTGATTAGTTTCCCATACTATTAATGTTTGCAACTACAGCACTCACATCCAAATGGGTGAACTTTGAAAAATACCAGTGTAGGTGTGCAAGTAAGATGGTTTTTGTACACTTGAATCTCATTCCACTTTTCAGGATGAAAAAGTGACAGTTGGGGAGCATTTTATTTACCTTTAGTGCTGTCCTATGTGTGGGTTAAGGATTAGACAAGATACAAGGAAAGAGGGAAAAATAATAAATAATGAACCAGAATATTGGCTATGTACCCTTCTTGAGTAGAAAAGAAGAGAAATTTTGGTGATGAATGAATGGTGTATTGAACACATTCCTTGTGGTTTTGACAACAAGACTTAAACCATGTTCATTTGTTTGATCTGAAACGACATAAAAACTAACTGGAAAATATCCACAAACACCAAATATTCCAAGAATTAACTTCAAGCATAAATCCTCCAAAGTAATGGAGCTCAGATAATTTGAACCAACCCGACTGATGGGTTTATGCAACATGCACATGAAGTTCTGTATCACCCAAGTCAGCCCTAATCTGTTTGCACTTGGTGGGTACAAAACATATACTGCAACCTTCTTGGATGTAAAAAGGCAACCTGAAGGGTTTTGTGGATTGTGTAGGATTGTGGATGCTAAAACCCAATCACCATAATGTTATATACAACCTGCAATGTACATTAAACGAAGTACATAGAATGTAATATTAATTATCTGTAAGGTGGGGGAGTTTGGAGTAGATATCCATGATTGCTCCTGTCAAATATCTAGGTGAAATAGGGTTCTGATAAAGGCAGCATCAAATTAAAAAACATTCTACTGCGTGATCTGGCCCCACTGCTAATCATAACAGGTCAACAAAATGTGAACACTAAAACTTACCTCCTCCTGGACTCAACTCGCCGGCACTCCCCGTCATGTGGCCCTCCTCGTAGCTCCGCCGCTTCATCCTCATGCCCGGAGCAGGCAGCGGTGAGAGCTCGCGTGGCGGCAAGGCAGCCATGCTGTGGCGACGCCGCATGTTCAGCTTCTGGACCAGGCCCAGGGAAGACTTGCGGCGGGGCGAGGCGAGGCGATGGTGGGTTGGGGAGGAGGAGAGGGGCGAGTACTCCAGCTCCACTGACTTGGTGCGGCACTGGGAGCCGCGGGGCCGGTACCGGGCTGTGTTGTTCACCTGGGAAAACAAAAGTGAGGGACATATCACATAATGAGCGTTCAGTATTTAAAAAGGCGAGGTTAATCAAGAACAAAGCACCTGACATCACTTTAGCTTGATCATGTTTCGTGTATGTGAGTCAGTGTATGGCCAAGCCGACAGGGCTGACCTCATACGTGTCTACCGACATTCTTGAATGAGCTACAAGTTGCTTAATTTTGAGCATGTACTGTCAGTGTACTAAACTGGCTCACTACATGGTTATGTCCCCGAAAAAGGTTTTATAATATTAAGGAAGTGACATTCAAGAAGTGCCTTAATCTTTTTAGTGCATCATTATGTTTTAGCCTGTCTTTTATTTTTCTCTCGATACTTTCTTTGATATAATGAGGCTTACCCACGAGTCATAGTCTTCCATAGTCACATGTACAAAGATTGTTGCCTGGTCCAAGCCTTCAAGATGAATGTGACGGTAGCCTAGAAACAGAATTTGTAAGAATGGCCAAGGTGAAAAGGTGACCAATAATGAAGGGATTAAGTGTATCAATTAAGTCTATACAGTGATGAGATCAATAGCAACTCGTCTCACACCTCTGACTGGAACTTTTTTTGGATTTAATTAGCCCTAACAGTCCTGAATCCTCCAATTTCAATATGATTTTATATACACCCTAGGGGATTATGATTAACTTTGTGCTCAGACACGTGGAAATATATTTGAGCTGTTGCTGGGGGGGGGGAAATACATTATGGACATATAAAATCACGGTGATGAATCTGGCTTAGTACTCTATACGTCAAACGAGGAGTTTTTTTAGTTTTGAAACACCTAAAAGATATAAAAGTTCTTTAAATATTATGATGGATTTTGTCCCATAATGAGCTCTTTGATAAAAACACTGTAAGTGTGTAATTGCAAACATTGAACTCAATGTTGGAATGTGATTAAAGATATGGGACATCAGATTATCTGCACTGGTATTCTTTCCAACTTTTTAAACATTTGACTAATGCTGAGGCACGGTACACATTAACTACAAATATTGTGTACTCATGACCCACCTGGCATAAGACTGACAATAGGCAACGTGGTCTGACCAATGAAGTCCCTGCCGATGGGGTCCTCATCCCACACGGCGAATCGGATCAGGGCCATCTCAGGCAAGTGAATGGTGAAAGTCATGGTGCAGTCCCAAAAGGGATTAAACCCTGTGCAATAATTGAATTTATCATCAAAGAGAACACTCTAAACCCAGGAAACTTAAAAATTTATAAAAATTTTAATGGAGAGAGTTTCAACCACAATGATCAACTGCTTTTCATCCAACCCCTCAGAATCAATTTACTTTTGTCCAGGCAAGAAAACAGAGAGAAAATAAACCAAACACTGTCCTGTCAATTTCAAGTATTTCAAGTAATGTATCAATTGACATTCGTAAATTTATCAAGATACTCATACAACAGTTGAATTCAAAATAGATACACAAGCTTTCCTGCTATAAAGCCCTTATTTAAAATGATCTGTAAAAAAAAAAACTCTCACCACTGAAAATTTTAATTAGACTTCCAATGCAAATAACTTATTTTTCTTTTGCTCAGTATATTGTTGGAAACTATTCCAAAAGCTACATTCTGGTAACTACATTAACTTAGTTTCTTCCAGCATATGAAAATGGACCTTATAGCTCCTTACCATTATCTTGAATTGTTTTTGTTTGTGACTTGGCACAGTCAACTGCTAATCCAACAACCTCAACCTCCACATACGGATCAATTATCTTAAAAACAAAGAATGATAGCAGAGAAATGAAAAACTAGAAAAAAAAGTCTCTTGAAGAACCTGCATGTTTTTCTTGTTTACAGTTAAAATTTTGACAGTGGACTCAAAATGCAGAAAATGGTTTGTACATGTACAGTATATACATGCACGCAACAAGCTTTCTATGTGTCTCCACCCAGTTTTTAAGACTTCAACATTAGAAATAACAGTGTTATCTGGAGGTCTCCAGGTTGTGGGAAGAAGACCAGTTGCAGTTCTTTCACAATATGACAGCAAAAAAAAACCCAAATAAAACAACTCAACAAACTGACAATTGAGATAATTCATTTTATCAAGTCAATGATCAAATGCTTTATACTAAGCGGAGGCTTGATCTTATGTGGGTGGCCGTCCAGTTCATGAGAAAGGGCATGAAAACTCTTGTCAGGGTCTTGATAGAGAGAAATGATGCAAAGTGCATGCATTGCAAGAGCCCCCATCAGTAGTACATGTACTACTGGGGGATCTGACTTTTTTGGAGCGATCCATTTGGGCACAGGATACGAGCATTGATTGGTCAGTGGACATAACCGGTAGGCAGTTAGGCTGCCCTGGTTACATTCTTTGTTGGAGTATAATGCCCTAATATCTGTGGGCTTGGAACCAATCTCTGGTCTGAAAGAGGATAGTAAGATCAAGGAGCCCTGAATCCAGAACTATTCTCTCAAAATATGTGGAAAAAAGTACATACTTCTCCTCTCTCTCCAAGCAAGCTCTGCGGAGGTTTTGGAAGCTGCTGTCCGCTGATAATGTGTAAGGTGAGTTGCTTCCTTGGAAGATGAGGAACTGGGTCTCCACTGTTGGGGTCAAATGGCTTGTTCTCTGAAAATGGTACAAAAACCTTAACTTATGACGACAAAATAAAAACAAAACTCTTACGAAAGACAGAAAGGGAGTACACAACAGTTCATACAATTATCCAGCAAAATGATTAGCAAAACATGAAAGAATACAACTTGGTAATGCTCTTGGGATATCTCAAGAGGTTTCTCCGGACATAATCTGTCTTCAAGAAAAAATGCAAATATGTAAGCACAGAATTACAGCGAATAAAATTTGATTTTTTTCTTACCATCACACAAAAGAGGGTGCTTGAGTACATATCCACAGTTTCCATTTACACTGAACTTTGCCCTGCTTAGCTGTATCGGACGTCCCTCTGTCTGGTAGTTTAGTGCAACTGTGGCAAAAAGTACAATTGACATGATGCCCAGAAATTGATCGTGAAGATGCCCTACAGTAAAAGAACAATGTGGTAGGTTCACACCTGCTGATAACTTCATTCCTGGATTGTCATCAAAACTTGATAGTGTACATTGTGACATGAACATCAAGGGGTAAAGGGGGAAATGGACGATGCTCACTTGTAAGCAGTGCTAATAATAAAAACACTAATTCAGTCATTTATATGGTGTTCTTAAACAGACTGGTAACACGGAGATTTACACATAAATTAAAATAATACTGATGAATAATTATAAAATAATGGGCTATGAGTGTAAAGAAGCGTGGAAAAGATGAGTTTTAAGCAATGAAATTAAATTAAATTCGGCAAGGGAACTTGTGTGATGGATCTCATTCGAAACATTTTTCTAAAGGTTAGGTACAGCTGCATAAAACCTTTTATGGAAATGGAAGAGTGAGTATTGGGATTAGTGAGAATTCTGGTATCTTAACAGGAATGGAATACGGCTATAGATCAAAGAAAAAAAATTGAATGGAGGGATTTGAACCCTAGACCTTTGGAATGCAAGGCTTTACCAACTAACGAATGACAACTAGACTGAGCCATTACCCAGTTGGCACCCGCAGTTCCACATGGGCTGCGGGTTGTAGTTACTGGAGTCTATCCGATACGCTGAGGGGTAGACGCGGCAAAGGTGGTTGGCAGTGAACTGGGTGAACTCTGGGGCCTTGGTGGCCACAAAGTTACTGGCGCGAATCTCGCCGAGTGATGGCAACTCCCATGAGGCCACTGGGATTAAGCAAACGGAAGGAGTGAGGAGTGAAATATCAGACCAAAGAGAGAGGGTTGTTCATGTTTTTCCTATTGTGATAAGAAATTGATTAAAACAGCTTTTGACATATGTCAAGGTCATTCAATAATTTCAATGTGGGATAATAAAAAGACACACTAGACAGGATCTCAGTGAAACAAACAAGTGAAGACCTATTCATATTTTTAGATTCACACTGATAGTATGGTTGAATGAAGAAAATGTGAAAGACGCATTCTTTTCAATGGGGGTGTTCCCTGAGAATCAGCGAACCAGCAAGGTAAATATCCTCACTTGTAGGCTGAAATGCAATGAAGGGTCTGGAGAAAATCCCACCTTACATAGATCCTAATGCTTTAAATGTTCCACGAGAACTATGCAGAGAAAGTAGCAAGTAGCATCCTTTTATGTCTTGATCTAACCATGCAAACTTAAGCACGGAGTTGACTACCAGGTTAAAGTTTTTGCAAGTAACGTCAACAAAATGTTTTTACTGCACAATGGCTACTTTTGGATATTTTGTAGGTCAGTATTTGATACATAATATTCTATTTTGATTTGTTAATTCTTTGGTTACCAGATTACTTTGAAAATCACCTACTTCCTGACTTGAAACCTCTGAATCCCACGGACTGTGTGAGCTGCACAAGCTGTGACAACTGCCGGCACAGCACCATAGATTTGCCCTTTTGGCTCCTGCCCATGGGCTGTGGACTGGGTGACTTGGGGTTACTGGTGTTTGACGTGTCACCGGCCATTTCATCATCCGTTGCCGATTTCTCAAGAAGATCTAGACTGCCACCTTCGGATGACTCGGAGGATGACTGAGATTTAGGTTTCTTCTGTAAGGAGTAAAGGAATAATATCCCACACACAGATATTTATCCTTCGCCCTGTTCAAACTTTAAACTTACTCAGAAAGTCTGCGAGAAATATCTCTCCCCTAGACAGACTTCTGATGACTCAAACCCATAACCTTCTGCAGGCTGAATACATGTACATTGTCATCTCGGTGACAGGACCATCAACCTTTCCCCAGTTTAAATTAATGTAGCAATTTCCATTTAGCAAACTTTACCAAACTGCCGTCAACCCCTTCCTCACAAATGGAAATACTCAACACAAAGGGAGAACTGGAGGCACAGGATCCGAGATTGGAAAGTCTTGCTCTGACCTTTGAGAGTTTCAGGCGTCGCAGGGTACCAGTCAGACTGCTGGACCGGGCATGGTTTTTGGAGTTTGCATCTTTCTTCTTTGAATCTTCTCGGACCTAACAGTCAGACACAAAAACACACATAGAGTTAAATGATCCTCTGTAGATATTGACAAAAGAACTGTAATTTATCCACAGGTATATGAGCAAAACAGTCAGACAGATTAACTTCACTTGCAAGTAACCAGGTAACTGCAGTTTTAAATGAAATGACCAAAACTGCTGATGATACAGAAATATAAGTAAGTCCAAGCTATTATAAAAGATAAAAATAACATTTAATTTTGCTTTGTTCATTCAACTTTTGCTCGTCTGTGGCATTAGATACGGCCTAATTCTTTTAAACTGAATATTTACACCAAAACATAGACTCATTGTTTAACATCATCAATGAAGCTTTATAATACATTTCTGAATCTTAAAAATAGCAAGAAGTTCAAATGGAACAGATCTAGTGGGCATGGTAAACAATAGCAACAATTCCAACAAACGCTTCATTAACACTTTTTAACAGCAAATTAATACCCTATGTCATGCAGGGAGCACCGAGCACTATTTTACAGCAGCAAGGCACGATACCAGAAGGGCTTCATAGTGTCAATGATTAACATACAAAAAATTCACACATGCAATGTAATGCCTCTATTGGTCCAATCGACATTTCTTGACAATGAGAACAAACCAAATCGCCCCAGCTCACACATTTGATAATATGAGGGGTACAACATTTTGTGACAGAAGACAGTGAAACAAATCTTTTGAGGGAAATTTTGTTTGAATCACATCTCTAAATAAACCTAACATCACATATTTCAACGTCTATAACTTTTGCTCCAAAGATTGTCGTGACATTAGTTTTCACTGCAATTAGTTTGACACAGTTCTTTTCAAATATACAAAACCTATAAATTTGCAAGGGTTGGCAAAAGATCACATCACATTCGCCTTCTCACGAAGTGCGAGACACTGTGACACATCAATATGTATACGTATCCATGCAATAAAACTATTTCACATATATTTAACAACAAGTGGGAATGCTTTGGGAAATACCTTGGAGATGATGCGTTGCCATGCTGATCGCGTTGGCGTTATAGGTTTCTTCCTCATAAGCATAAGCTGGGCCATAGCCACTGATTCAAATTTTTTGGAGATGCTGCTTCGCTCAAGCTGGTAGCAGGGAACATGAGGAGGGGGTGGAGACACAGATATGTCCAAAGAGGGTACCAGAGAGTGACAATTTGTGTTAATAAGGTGGAAGAAGACACAATTTCAAGGATGAGGCAGTAGACATTACAAACACCAAATGTGATTTGTCTATTTAAAATGAGAGCCATTTAAAACAAATCCAATTCTGACAAATGATGGCTATTTAAAACCCATTAAGTCACCCTGACACAATGATTGAATGTAAACCTCCACTGTAGCACTTCCACACTGGTAGTAGTGACCACAATTCTGCTCTGTACAACGTTGTATGATGGAGGTACATTCTCACTGAGGTCAATCCAAAAACTTTCTTTCTAAAATAATCCGATATTTTATAAAACACCTTACATAAACTTGACTGTTTTAAAGTTTTGCTGCAACTGTATAACCTTTAACTTTCATTGAATTTCACTGAACTGTTAGAGTACTAAAATATGTCATCAAATGATGCAAATGATTATAATTCAAAAACACACAAAATAAAAAAGTAGGTTACACGCCGAAATGCCTTTGATATGAAAGTAAAGTTCGCTGTTTAGCACCAGATCTTTGAAACTGGGCCATATTCTCAAAAAATGTTGTTTGCATTTATTCTGAAATTTCGAAATGCCATGGGAGGGTAGGTACAGAAATCTTTCAACAAACCATATGATTTTTGTTCAGGAGAATATTACCTTATTCCTTTAACATACATCATAACATTTAAACTTTCTTTTTTGGCTACAAGGTGTAATGAAGTGTTTGGTTACTCATTAGATAAGTCCTTCTTGGTACAGAAATCATGAATCACAAACGAATTTGGGAGTTCATTCAAACCAAAGGCATGATTCTGATTTCATCGATTGAAAAATTCTTTTCAAAAATTGATACAGTTAAAAGGCCTTGCAACTAAAATTACAATTACTGAAAAGGAATACCAAAATTGTTAGAGTGAAAACAATCCTTTGTACATGTATATTCTGGAATACATGTATGTACAGCAAACATAAACGTGCCCATGCTGATGTTTCAAGCCAATGTTACCAGACTTTTGATCAAACCCATGCATAAAAAAGTGTGTATCTTCACAAATCAATTACAAACTCAACTTGTCAGATGTACTGCTTATAAATGAAAGAAAGTGAACAAAAACCCCAACCTACACATATCAAGTACCTAACTGAAAGCCACATAGAGAAAGTGGTGATAGAGAAGTATGAACAGGAGCAGACAGTAAGAGTCATGTTAAAAGGAAGTTAGTGACAAAACATCAAATTTGTGCACATATGTACATGTAGCTCTGTGATACAAATTCCATTTTATTCCAATCTGGATTAGTGTTACTTTTGATGCAGGTCACATGACTGGGTTACAACTGATGAGTAAGTTCTTGTTAATAGACATCAAAACAATTAAACCACATGTACATTTAAATTCTGCACGAAAATTTCAATAGGGTAAAAAAAGTGCTGGACAAACCTTTCTTAAATGCCTGTCAAGACTACCGTACATGCATGTAGGCTGTGTGCATGTGTTTCGTAAAGTTTTGGAATGAGGAAAGAAAATTAGGTTGACTGGCAATCAGGGTTTAAGCAATATTAAAAGTACATTTTCAAATATGGGATAGATCACCTCCTTAACCCCAAACAACGAAATTTGCTAACTTGCTATGGCAATTTTTTAAAAGGAATAACAAGTGTGGTTTGAAATGTTTGGACCATGATTGATGATTGCTTGGTTCTGCATTCTCAGTTTGAAAAGTGAAAAATTCTATTGTAAATAACACAGAGGATGTAAGTTCTCTTCCAACTTCTTCAGAACACCTTTCTTGTTTACTGCATCCAGCTTAAGATTAAGAACCCTTTGCAGTAAGCTGTGAGTTTCAAGTCAACCAGAAATCTTTTGGTAAATCATTTCGTAACTACTTGTTTTACATCTATCTAAGCTTTCCACACAACTTGTGTTACTGACATAATATTCCGAACTGCAGCAGCGCGAAGCATGTCTCACCTTGAGTTCATCGTCTAATTCGTCGGCGCTGTCCTCCTCACTCACTTCCCCCGCCTCTAGGTTTTCATTGTGGTCCTCTGGCAATTTCTTGGCCTGAGGGAAGGGGGCAGATGACGTTAAACAGGAAGGTAGCACTAAGCTGTCTGTAGACTACCTTGAAGGAAGAGCATGATTCTCAAAACATGTTGATTTACACCCCTGGTATACTTCTGCCCAATGATTGTATAGCGCAGCATAGGAGTGCAAGATGGAGAACTTCACTGTGAATATGCGTAAAACGTTGTAATCACACGGGCGCCATTTGGGTTGGACTGCACCTGTGCGGTACATGTTAATGCACAGGCACAGCTGCAACAACAAGCACGCACTCCTGGTATGCCTGTACTAGCGCCTATGCATTAATATGCACACTTGAATGGCGCCCATAGTGATAACACCGTTTTGGCAAAGTTATCTATCTTGCACCACTACGCGGTGCTATACTGTCTTTGCTTCTGCCTTTGAAACCAACAACTTTAGCACTTTTACAAACAGAACTAGCTGCAGAACCATTATTTGCTCTTTGACTGATACAAACGTGGGCGCACATTTCTTGAAAAAAAAATTTTGTTTTGGCAAAATCCTGACTGAGCTGATGATCAATTCATTATCCAGTTAACTTCCATTTTTTGTTGTTGTAATGTTAAGCAAACATTTCACGAGAGAAGGACAAGGAGGAATATAAGCATGAGTATTATGTGTTAGAGCTTGATATCTTGACTGGCATTTGCCCCTTACCCTTTAATTTATATTTGACCCCAAACTCCAACCCTCAATAGCATCCCTTGACATTTTAACAGCTTTCAAAATGTAAAGACTGATGAATCCAACATGATCTCACAGAACAAAAAGAAGATTGTTTTGTTCCTTATTTGTCAACAAAGTAAAATTTCAAATCGAGGAATTTTTCCAGGTGGATATTAATGGATTCAGCATGGTGTCGGACACTGATTTATCAGCCCAAAGAAGAACTATAAATCATTTCAGCAGTAACAATTAACATCAGCTGTAATGCTTTCTGATTTTTCCTAAAACGATTGACCATACAACAGGATGGAATTGCTTCTTTAAACATTAGCAATTTCTTGGCTTAATTAACAATCCTACTATTTCTGAGAACTCGTCCTTTTTTCTTCTTTTTTTACAGCCAGGTAATGCCAGATTCATACACCATGTAATCGACAGCTTGTAATTGTGCTTGCAACCATGCGCCCAAAGAAGGGCAGTCTCATTCAATATAAGTTAAGCCACATTTGTCAAATGAATGACTCAGTTGCATGACAGCACAAGGAACAAAAGTGGGTTATCCATATGCTGAGCCCCAATTAACGAGCGGCAACGTAATATATGAAAATGGAGCAAAAAATGTTATAGTTGGCAACAGTTCTGCAGCATGCAATCTTATCTTTATACTTTGCAAATAAAAAAAAACAACTGGCTGGTCTGAACATGCTGCCTGAAGGGGAGTAAAGCAACATTTATTCTTTTCCTTTTTAAAGGATGATTTCTGACTTCTCATATGATATAAATCATTCTCCTGTGTACCTTGATGAGAATCTTTCCTTTCAATTCCTCTGGAGACGGTAATGTTGTCGTACTGGGGTCTACTGCAGGGACATGCAACATCTCTGAGGTTGGTGGTTAAGAAAAACTCCAGTTAATGTTTATTTCAATTTTGGCATACTGGAAAATTAGGTCCTGCCTCCGCCCTCGTTAATGAATAAATCCCCAATACGGTCCCCTTCAAATTTTTTTTTTCCTGAATTCATTTATCTCCAATGCAACACCCGCCCATTTATCATGAGTGGATATAACTAGAATCGCTGAACCCCTGAACACAACTCGGCAGGTGGCCTCTTTGTCTGCTTTGTCCCCTTGTGATGAATGCGAGTCTGACGAAATAGTGGGTTGCCCCAACTTTTCGATGGCTAAGAATGAAACCTACATTCGCTGCTTTGATGAAATCAACTGGGAAAATGCCAAGACATGGAGACGAGGTGTGAAAGCTACATTCAGTGGGCGCCGGTGTCTCGCACATCAAATATTCAGATGTACGTGCCTTATGTCAAGGTAGGGCCTATAACTGCTTAAGGTTGGCACCATGGAAACCACTAGAGACGTGATGCAGCTGGACATGACTCAGAAATCAAAGTAATGATCATAACTCCTATGGTGTTAGTTTCAATTTAATACTTTGATCTGTGTGGCATAGTCTCCTAAAAACTAAAAGAAAAAATCACCAGTTATTTTGTCATCTCACCTAAGGCTGCGTTTTCAAATTGTTTAAGACTGATGCATTTCTATTGAGTTAGCATACACAATTTCAGAAGTTCTAGGAGCAACGCTAGTTGTGTTTTAACAGCAAAAAGAAATGGGAAAAAAATCAGGAACAGACACAGTCAAAATTTCTATTTTAAAACTGTCTTGAATACCCTCAGTGTTTCTGGATATTCATGTGACAATTGTTGACTGCTTGGACATGGGATATGGCTTTTTTGTCCACTATTGTTCCAAGTTCGAGTTTTACTTCCAGTTTGGCCTCCCCTAATTTTCGCTATCGCTGGATCAATACACTGAGGCAATCCATGTACAGGTGTATGTGCTTTAATTTACATGTGCAAGGCACAGGTGAATAGTTTTCTAGACTCAAAACACCACAAACTAGTACTGTTTGTGACACATTTCATCAACACATTCAGGGCAAGTCCATATCTGATACACTGAGCCTTGTGACCTCAAAGAGGACCTTGATTGTTACATACTATTACACCATCGTATCTTACATTAATCTTTGATGAGGACAATCCTTCACACGTGCATGGTCATCTGTGTTTAGACAACACCTGAATAAGAAATGACATAAAGCTGCCTCCCCATCCTTTTAAAATATTCAAATTCCACGGCTCCTTTGAGGAGGGAGATGGGGGTAGTTGATGGCAATCAGTGAATGCTTCATGATTATCATTCAAGCAGGCGTCTTAGGACAAGAGGGCAAGTCAAGAGCCTGTGTAGATGATGTTATGACTGCTTACTAATGTTACGCACTGTTTGTGCTGTGTGCATCGTTTTTGGTTACTTTTTGTTTGATCATCTTTTTGGGTTAGGAGATTTTGCTGTGTGTTGCTTCATTCTTTGATTGTGACGTTTTATATGCCAGAGACTTGAAAAGTGGAGGCTTTACTTGCTTCAGAACTCACTCGGGTCAGAACTCATGGAAAACATGCCATGTATAGGAGGCAAAAACAACAAAGAACCCAAACAAACACACCCAAACAACTCTGCAAACAAACCAGTTATAGCTCCAGTATCCAGTCAAGTATCCCTTTCCCTTGTCTTGAATTTCCAATGGTGAGAAAAGGTGGCCCCTATATACGGTACATGTACATCCTTCCAGGTCCATTTTTCACTTATTCCAGCACGCATTGTATACACCTTAAAGGGGTAAGGAAATGTGATGTATACTTTCCACATCTTAACATATTTCAGATATGCATTGAAACCTTTCTCAAATGAGTGACTTTTTTCCATAGTGGGTACACACCATATCTGCACTTCAAACAATGGTACGGTAGTGAAGCGCTTTTTATGGGCAATTCATCTAAACTGCAGCTATTGAGGAAACAATTTGATGTCTCATAAACATGTACGGCTGCACTGGAGAGCAGGCAGTAGACATCATTCATGTACAGGCAGGTCCAACTTTGCAGGCGGCATGTGGTAATGAGCACATGAAATATAAATGATCCAATTTAAAAATTTATCTTTGATGACGTACAATGTAGCTATGAGAACAGATGAGTTGTTTACCGCCTGATCAGCAAAATACGTAGGCTTTACGTTCAGATTATATTAAAGAGTGAATAGACTGTATGAAGACAGCCTACTGAACCAAATGAGTGGAGTGGGGGTACATTCTCCTAATTTCTGAGACTTTAATAATTGCCACAAACATGAAGTTCGTGCATATTTCTTTTTCTTTGCACCTGGCTCCGGACAGTTTGACAGCAGCTTGAAAGTCTTAAACATCAAACTGACGGTGCAACTCAGACCAACTGAATACTTAGATCAGCCCATATTGCATTTCCTTTCAAAGAAAATGTGTTTTACAACTGATTGGGTCTGGTAAATGTATCTCTGGACAAAACCTGGTGGAGGGTTACTCAAAACTCAATCTCACACTTGAACCTTTAAATATGACCTCCATCTGAAAGAAATCTGGCAGTCACCACTGATGTCTAAAACAGTTTTTTTCCATACAATTTCTGACCACTTTGGACATGATTTGGGAATGTTGGCTTAGTTTTGGCAAAAATAACCTTAAAATCACCAATTCTCAATAAAGGTTGTTCTGTGAATTTACGTCTATTAATAATAATACCCAGCATTTAAAAAGGCTCTTTTTAGTAACCAAATCACTGCTCCTACAAATAATAGACAGTTGAATAATTTCTAGAACTTAATGAATGCACTAATATAGTTGACAATGAAAATATTACATTATTATTATTATTATAGGGATTACCAAATTTTTTTCCTTCAAACACATTTTGAGATATTCGTCCAGAGGTCAGACGTACTTGATGACAACACGTAACCCATTTTAAGACTGCAGCATTCAGGAACCTTCTGATTCCCACACAAGACTTGCAGCTTGCAGCAATCATGTTAAACGCCAAGAGACTTATCAAATTACTGATGCTCCAATTGCCTTACCATTGAATCTAGTGCCTTCATGGCTAGCACAAACCTAATTAATGTCCCAGAACAATCGATTGTTAGAGTTTAGCTGCATCACACAAACCCCATTGATGATGGACTGGAATGATTTTCACCAAGCAGGCATGGCAAACCTCCAGAATTTCCTCTGGTAATACATACAATCCCCAATTGCTCTATGCAGGTGTGGCCCTTAAGCTTAATCAGAAAGCAAGGGTTGGATCCATTTACATGTACAAGTGTGCATGTACATGTACTAATTTCATCAGCTTGTGGGCCACTGCCTAAAGTGCAACCATGCAACCTCACATGACCAACTACCTAATGGAGAATGGGCTGCCGGTAAAGATTACAGCTCTCTTTTCATATGAATATGGGACTGCTACTGTGAAACAAAAATTGGGCTTGAAACATTATAGCTGGCAAGAATACTACAACAAGCACACACAATTTTATGGCTGCTGCCTTTCTCTTATTTTTCCTCCTTATGCTGCAGAACAAGGTAGATGTAGAAGTGAAGGGGGAATCCAGTACACAATATTCAGGGGGGCAAACTTGCCAGGGGATCTAGAAGTTTTTTCTGGCTTTTCTGAGGGATCTGAGGTTATATTTTGGGGCTTTTTGCATGCTTTGGAAGGTAGGATAATGGCACAGACCACTTGAACCTTCTTTCTCTTATAACTTTTCCCAAAACAATCTTTTTGCGGGTCCTTCATCCCCTTCCCCTTGGATCCGCCCCATGTGGAAAGCCAGTTCACAAACAGAGGATAATATAACTTGTCCCATTCTATCTGAATCGTGAAAGATTGTAACTAGAAAGGAATTCAACATTTGAGGAGGGAGGCAGAAAGAGAGGTAGTTCTGGGTGGAAACCACAAATCCTGTGAGTAGAGTTTAATGGAATATCTTCCCAAAACTAATGTCCCTAGTGAAGAGAAACAGATACTGCAAACCAAACGTTCAAAAGGATACCCCCGAGAATTTCCACCAAGTACTGGGCCATCTTCTTCTGCTGCTCCAGGCTGCAGTGGTTCTCGATAGACAGGATGACCGGGTAAGGGCTTGTTATAAAGGCGTATTTGCTGATGATGGAGATGACATCTCGGAATTTGATCTTGGAGGTGAGGGTGTAGCCGTGATAGATGATGGGCTCCCCTTCTTTGCCATCCCAACAATCCACTGTGGGGGAAATTAAGAAGTTAATAACTGGCAGACAGTAACAAAGTACTGGTTATGAAAACTTGCACCAGTAGGCCTATACCTAGCAGTACCCTATTGGAACAAGCTCAACCACATCCAGTGAGTTTCTTTCTTTCTGGTTCTTTTGTTAACGTACGTGTATTTCCTTTTATACAATCCTGAGCAGTAGGGCAGGTTTACATTACATTTTGCTCACTCCAATAATTATTTTATACAAATTTTTAAATTGGTTATTCCATATAATTTTCAAACATGTTCACTTCAGCAGCTTCGGATGACATTAGATACAATGTATGGTTTACTCTCCAGCAACTTGTAGTGGTGGTTGTTCATCAGGGAAATGAAAACTATCAAAATTAACAAACAAAACCAATTCACCGTTCCTTCCAAAAATATTTAAAATGTGCATATTTGCAATGGATAACGATTGATCCATCTATGTAATGCCGACAAAAATGGGTATTAGCAATGCCCAAACAATCCCATATTTATAAACGTTAAGAATAACTGTCTAATTACACTAAAAAATTATCTACAAACAGTGATTTAGATCCATTAGTAAAGAGTAAAATATACCCAAGAACCGAACACATAGTCTGTAGCAGACTATAGTTCGTTCATAGCTTATTCCAGAATAAAAAAGTCAGAGTGAGACGATGGAACTTTTTATACCTGAGTGGCAGTAAGATGGTATTTTTACAGATCCTCAACCTTTTTGTGGGCCCCCAAATTTTTCACAGGCCCTAGCTAGGCATATTTGGATAATCCAGGCCTGAACTGGACACTTACTCTCAACACAACGGCAACCAGCCTGCAAGACTAGAGCATAGATGTCCACACTAGACTGGGACATCAGCTGGTCTCCCACAAGGTAGGTGTTGTGTGAGGAAGCTATGTAATAATGGGACATGGGCTGGGTCATGTCCTGGTTGACCTCTCGGTGGGCAGGGTTGAAGATGTCCCCCTCGTGGCTGAGAAGGAAGCGAGTGAAGCCTGTAAAAGAGGGTATGATGAGAGATTCAGCTATTAGAAGAAAAGCATCAAGGCCTCAAATCATACAGGGATGTAACAGTCATAAGAAGAACACTGCTGGACAAAACCACTGCTGAAAGTGGGTAGTTTGTAATTTTAAAAGTCACCTTCATCAACTATATACGATTTTGCTAGTGCTAACCTACGTGTACCTATATATATATGGTTAATTTCAGCTGGGATCAACTTGCTCTAAGTACATGTATGGGATGACAGGTGATGTACAAGTAGTGATACCACTGTGTGTGTGCCATTTTCAGGTATCAACTAAGCAGGAAAAATATGGTAAGCTCAACTCAAGCCACATGATGCTAAATAAAGGCCAAACTTTGGGCATCCTTGAAGCTTATCCCAATTATACACAATTAGGTGGTGCTGAAGAGCCCCTTTGTAGGGATTTGGATTAGTCACCAGATAGTGCCTTCTATGAAAGTAAGCATTATTCCTGGCTTCAGCCCAAACGTTTGAGCACAGTCTTTACTTTCCGGGGTCAAAAGGTATGTCAGATGGAAGAGGGTTTCTAAAAGGACCCTTCACCTCCAAAAAAACCCCAAACAGAAAAATAAAAATTACAACTGACCATCTATCCCCATCCAACCATTCTTGGAGTTCTCCGGAATTGGCTCGTAGGTCTGCACAAACTCCTGGCACAGCTCCGGCTCCACATTGCCCATCCCCTGCTCATCCCGCAGGTAGCGGGCAAACTCCTCCAGGGTCATGTAGCCCTTGCCGTGGCCGTAGTCCCGTAGCAGCACATCCACCTCCTGCCGGGTGCTGATGGTGCGGTAGAACTGGATGAACTCGTCAAAGTCGAGCTTACCGATGTTCTCATCCTGGGAGTCTGCCTCCTGTGAATAACAATAACAGCATCGGTGATGCACCTAGCTTTCTCCCCAAATACCCAGCATTTATGAACAGGTTGGGCATTTATACAACGGCCACACTCATCCCTTTCACTTCCAATTAGACTGGAGTTGGATGACATTCCCTTTAACGATATTGCACAAGATATCCTGAAGTGCAGTCAATGGGGGAAGTACCCATAATCTGGCCTCCATCAGGCTGTTTCAAACACAAAAACACTGCATGCTGAATGTTATAGTGCTAAATATTGCAGAATATAAAGGAATTCATATGCAAACTATTCGTGGTGAACTGGCCACGACCCATTTGGATGCCAAACCTAGATATCCTTGTGCTTTGCATGAGGTCCAATAACTTGGCCCAAGAAGGCTGAACTTTGCATGCACCAAGTCACAAGTACACTTTGTTCCAGTGATATGTTTTCATCATTATATTGAGATATGGCCACCTACGAAAAATGTTCCTTTTGTTATTTCCCTTTTACAGACTTGTTGAATATAAAGAGCTATAATAATGCTTGTCTCTTTGCGCTGCCCACACACAGGGAAAAGAAGGAATATTGAATAATTCCATTTTGGCAGCAATTAGTGGCTTTGTGTACCATCAGCTCACATGCACAGAAATGAGCACTTAAGACTCCTTCAATATTTTAGAACTGACAAACTGTTGCTGGGGTAACGGTTCATGCAAGATTAAAAATCAAATAACCAAACACTGGTAGTGGGTGGTCCAAATGATTGAGGCACATTAAGTCGGGAATAATCACTAGACATTAAAATTTTACTTTTGGTGTCAAATACATCAATATCTGAATAGAATTCCAGCAAAAAGGGTGACACAAAGCTTGAATATGTGGGCCTGACAGATAGGCAAATTCTTTGGCAAATATGATAGGCAAATATATTTGTTGGGCATGCCAGCAAATTTTGTACATTCGTGTCAGTGTCTCATCCCTGAGACTATAATTAAACAATCTTGAAATGTTAAAAAAAATGAAAACAACCTCATCAAATTGGCTGCAGTAAAGGCACAATCATGTCAGAAACAATGTATCAATTCCATAATCTTAACAGACTGATGCCCAGCAACATACCGTAGCCTGGGTTCTTACTGTAGGAGGAGCTGGATGGTACAGCGGGGGGTGTAAGTTGCAGTATTTTCTTTTTTTAAAAAAAATTTATATAATTCTTTGTTTTTCAAATCTCCTGGGGGAAGGTGGGGGGGAGGGCTGAGGGTGGTAAGTCTCCCCGGCTATGCCACTGCTGACACCCCACTACCAAGTCTCCAAAATAACCAAGTTTAGAACTGGAATATTGCTGGCTAAGCCAAAAATATCTGGGATTTGATGCAACTGTACTGTATCGAGCCATACGGTATACATTGAGGGTGCATCAAGAATGCAAGCTAAAGTACATGTACTTCAAGAAGTTAGTTTCTTCTTCAATTTTAATGCAATTATGGAATTGATATTTACGTTGTTTCTGACATGTTCATGCCTTTACTGCAGCCAATTTGATGTGGCTGTACTAATTTTTTTTAACATAGACAGATTGTTTAATTATAGTCTCAGGGATGCCAACACTGACGTGAATGTAAAATATTTGTTGGCATGCCCACAGGCGGTAATTTGCCTATCTGTCATATTAAGGAACCCATTATCGATACTGGAAATGGGGAATATACATGTACCAGTACATGCTTAGCACTGAAGTGTTGAATTCAATATTAACAAGAGTGCGGTCAGTGACCACTCTTTGAAAGTGTTAAATCCATTTTAAATGTTAAATATAGCATTTTAAACATCATATCCAACAGTCAAAGAATTCATTCAACAATTTAAGTCTTAATTCAACTTTTTCCCTTGATATTGTTATATCATTTATAATGTTGAGTCAATAGCTTAAAATGCTGAATGTAGAATTTAAAATGTTGGATTTAACATTTAAAATGCTGGTTTAAACACTTTCGAACAGGGGTCAGTGACCGCACTCTTGTGTTGGATTCAACACTTTTTTTAGCATAAACACATATTTTATCTGAAGGACATTTCACAATAAGGTTTACAGACAGTTGTGAGATGAGTGGTTCATTCCTCTTGGTGTCAGTGTCAGCAAGTCAAAAACCCATACTGGATGTTGTCAAACATGGTCGGGCGGCTTCCAGACACATCCCTGGAAGGACGATGGCTCCCATTTCCACATTTCCGGCACCACATCAGTGTGCTATAAATAGCCCTCCCCCCATCGCCAGTCAGCATAAAATTCCACTCCATAATTCCACTCCAAAATTGTGAACTCATTGGGGACATTGCTCACTTAATGAAGCCTCTAGCTCTAGTAATGGGGGACTGGTATACTGCCAACTAATTTTGACAGATGACCCAGAGTGAATCTTTCAAACGAAAACACAAGGTTGACTAACCTTTGGTGAAATACATTTTATCTATCAGCAGGTTGAGATTTTACCAACACATATTACACTCTGATAGTACATGTATGTTACATTTTGCTAAACTCTGTTAACAGATACTGCACAGACATGAGCTGTAACTACATGTATGTGCAAGAACTATAGAGCACAGTTTGGGGGGTTTAAATTACAATCTGAATGAACTCTTTTGAAAATGTCACATTCAAACTTGTATCACAGCCACTATTGGATGTAAAGAACCCTGAAATTTTCACACAGATCTGTGACCCCAACCCCCTCATCGAAATGAGGAGTCCAAGTGAAACGAAACCAGTTTCACCATTCTGTTTTAAATGACTCGTTCGCATTTCTCAAGTTTTCCAGACAACTGCTTATAACTCTCAGAACAATCACACGAGAAGATGATTTCTGAAACCACAACTTCTCTGTTAAGCCACCAATCAACTTTTTCAAAGCCAACACAGGCATGCAAATGGTTATTTTACCACATGTACTTAAATTTTCCTATTCCAACCTTATTCCTCAGTTTTCAAGTGCTTATCATCTGTAAAGTTCAAGACAAGTAAGCCTGGAGGCAAAGATCTGTCTGCAACATTGGAGATCCATAAAAGCATCTCACATCGGTGTCATCAAATCAAAACTTCCCTTGGTATGTGTGTCATGGTCAGATACGGACGATGAACTAGTTGAAAAGGCAAAAAATAAGTCTGCATGGTAATTGTACACAGATGTGGGAAGATAGTGGATCACTGACAGCTTATCACATTTGGTAACTTAATTGCAGGACAAGATGTCAACATCCATCACCAGCAGAATTTTGGGGAGAGGATCAGATGCATGCGTCAAACTCTCTCAGTGAAAGACAACCACAAACATTTGGAAAAGTGCCCACATTGTACACGTACATGTATTTGCGAAAGTTCATCCAAACAAGGGGAAAACCAAGAAAATCGCATCAAATTTTATGTCATCTTGAAAGAACCTATACATCTAACTCAGGATCAAAAAGGTGGTTCCTAAAAGATCTGTTTGGGGGGGTGAGAGCTGTGTTATTTTACTTGCGTCCTTTTGGTTAAACTCCTCCCATAAGAGGATCAGGGTACTGTGTGGAGTTAGTCTACTTCTGGGAGGCTGAAACCAAAACTGTGTATGCAAACCAAGGGGTGCATACATTGTGCCTAATTTATTGCATACATATACTGTGTAGTGTTCTCATTTGTTGGGGAAGACTGTTGCAGTGGTATGACGAGGAGAAATAAAAAAATATGTTCAGACAGAACCAATTTGTACCATTCTGTGAGGGTCTCTATCCACAAGTTTTGGCCAGGTGAAATATACCCCAGCATGCCAAACTCCACATAACAATCGCCTGCTTTTGGACTTGAAACCCAACTGCCAACATCCAAACTTAACTGCAACAAATCAGTTGAGCTTGGTTTCTTGTGAATGACATTTGATTTGTGTCATAACAAATTTTCTTCTGAAAGCATGTGATGGAAAACAGCCAAATGGTTTCCTCCACTCCTTACTACATTCTGAATTGGGCACTGGGGAGTGCTGCTATCCACAGAGTCCCTGGATCCCTGCTAGCTATGCATAGCATCTTACCTTGAAGAGCTGCTTGACCTTCCTCTTGCTCAAGTTGACATTGAGTTTGTGGAGGAGTTTGAGGACCTCGTCCATGCTGAGCAAGCCATCTCCACTCTTATCGGCTGCTTCAAAGGTTGCCTTCAGCCAAGTAAGGAAGGGGAGTTAAGGAAACATCTATTTCAGAGTCCATTTTTATTATTGCAGGAAGTGTACCACTGTCTCTTCGGAAAGTACTCTCTGGGTAAAACACACATACATGTAGCAGCTTGGACCAGATCAAATTAAAGTCTAAATGTGCCCTTCGGCTATGTCTGTATTCAAGGGTTTCCAGGGTACCAGTTGCAGCCAGCTCTGTTTGGCAGAATGGGAAATGCATTTGCAACCACTAACATGCATGACGTACATGTAACTCTGGCATTGGATTGATTCCGAGGTATTTCAATTAAATTGGTGATTTTGGTCCCTATGGCGGTTTTCGGTTGATTGCTTTATAAAGCTCCCTTGCTTTATAAAGCTCCCTTGATTGTCTGAGTTCATTTAAAGTTCAAGTTGACGAATTGTGTACAATGAGCTTGAGTTCCTTAATACAGGTTCACAAGGTTTCACATTACAGCCTTCACAGGAATCCATGGCAATAATGGGATTTCCCGAGTGCTCTGGTACTCAAGGGATTTCACAGATATCAAGGCATTCATGAATTCACAGGTGTCACGATTGTTCACAAATTCACAGATATCACAATGGTTCATGACGGTTGACGATAGTTCACTGTGGTTTACGTAAAAACTGGAATATAAATACGAAAGATTAAAATAAACACAAATGCATAAGTGCATCTTCAAGTACAATAAACATGTGGAATGCTTAGGAATGCTGCATAACTGGACCAACAAATCATCTGGTTTATAAATGGCAAGAAATGAGTTCACGATATTATAAAGCCTAAACTTATATAAGAATCTAGATCCACTGTTCAAGGGGGGAACCAAGATGCCGGTAATGTAAGATACGGTGCATGTGTATCATCAATGGAATATCGTTAGACAAAAGCGCTGTAAAAATTGGTCTTATAGAACCGCTACTTTAATTTGTGCATCATAAACTTTTGGCAAAATTGATATTCAGGTCTCCCACACTATGCACCTGCATCTGGGACTATTTCGATCTATTAATATGGTTGGTACATGCGTACACTTAAAAGAAAGACGACAAACCTACAAGCTACAAGTGTCAAGACTGATCCACCCAGATCTTTTAATATTCACCACCTGGGATGTTTAGGAGGATTGTTTAATGCTGACTAGAGGAAGGCAGACTCAGTTACTACAACTTCAAGTGGATATAAACACCCCTTAAAAGTAAAAGGAATGCACTATGTCGTGTTAGTACAGTCAGGATGACAAGAAAACCTTAAGAATAATTAGCAACATTTATGAACAAGTCAGAGCAACTTTGTAATTGAAGTATGATCCACACTCACCGTGAAACTCCAACCTAAGGGTGAGATGGTCCTTTGGTTGGCTCACAGAAAATGAAAAAGCATCTAGAGAATTATGTAGTATTTTTGCATATGTCGTTAATGTGTGCTCTGTCTACAATATCAGGAATACAATCCTCCCTGCAGTCAATCCTGAATGGTTGACTGATTTCTTCCAATCCATCATTGGGAGTGTAGAGCCGCCCAGGCCAGATAATCACTTGCCAGGAGTTGGTGAGCTGCTGAAACTGCCGAGCAGCTTGTGGTCAGTCAATCTACTCACACACAACCCCCCCCCCTTAAGCTGTGTTTTCAAAAGGATATCAATCCCTGAGCTTGTTGTTGTTGAGCCGTCTGACCTCGGGCTTGACCCCCTTCAGCAGGTGCTTCAGGCCCCGAATCCAGATGGCCGTCTCCTCCTCGGTCTCCACAATCAAGTCAAAAGTGTCCCAGGAACTCCCATGGATGATAGAGAAGCATGTCTTGGTATGGCACTTGTTGCCAGCTGCCAAGAACTTCTTGAAGCTGTCCGTGTTGGGGCCCTCTCGTACCTCCTTGATAGATTCTATACTAACTGTGTAATAAAGAAAAAAAAAGTACTTTTGAGTGAGTCAAGGACTAAATCATCAATTCAAATGATCTGAATTCAATGCATCATTACATAACCCAAAATACTTTGGGCCACAAAAATATTCCATCACAATTCTAGTATTAAAGTTAAGTTATGTAAGACTCTTTTTTAAGTTTGGGGTTCACATGGGTTCAGATGAAGGCAAGAGGTGTGTCTCAAACTTTACAGTGTTTTCTCAACAGTAGGGCAATCGTTCAACCTTCAAAGCATGACAGAAATACGGATGAAAGCAATTTTTCAAAATGTAACTTTTAAAAATGTTAAGGAGTACAGAACTCTTTCAATTCCAATATATTTAATCTTACCCATTTGTTTAATGCTGATTTTACCTTGTTTTAGCTATAGGAAGCTCATACAGTACAATTCAAGCATGGTTTTAATTATCATAAAATGGCAACTGCCCATGCAATAACATAACCATCCTGTGTTTCTGATTATATGCAAATTACTCTGTGGGGCACTAGCTGTTAGGCTGTATATCATATTCAATCCCTGATGATCATGCAATGCCAGATCTGAGGCTGTCTTATGCACACTTTACGGTATAGGCAAAGGCATTATCTACAGCCGGGCCCTTATGTGCTCCCTCCATCCAGAAGAAAGCACCAGAGTGTTTCGTGTGTCAAATTGATGACTCCTCTAGTCAGCAGGGAGAGACTAGAAGTGTAGGATGCATTCTATCTGCAAGGAGATGGTGTCCGGGGAATGCAGGGGCTCATCAATCAATAGAGCTTTCATTACCCAGAGATCAAAGCCAGGGAAAAAGTGAACATCAGCCTCCCGGGGGTTCTCACACAAGACTCTACATAGCATGATGTGCCCTCAACTGTACATGTACAGTATATGTATAATAAACACCCTCAAGGTCTGAGAAAGACATCTGTTGGAAGAGATGGCCATAGCTAAGCACATAGCTGGGGCTATGACAGGGCGAAAGTTACCAAGAGGGTGTGCCAGCATTGCGGTTGTTCATTTATTTCCAGGAAAATTACAAGCACACATGTACTACAGATTAAGAAAATATCAGAAACAGACAAATAAAAAATTAAAGTCGTTTTTTTAAAAGCCCCCGGATTCCCAAAATAAATCAAACATATAAAGGAATATTCCTAAAAAAATAAAAGCGAAGATGATATATTACAAAATGAAGTTGACTACGAGTCTTTGTATCCCAAGTCTCTCTCAGGAACACCACTGTCTTAGATCCCTTTGTTTTTCTTGAAAGTACTGTTGCTGCATCTTTGAAGAGATTTTTTATTGTTTCACTTGGTATGCCTGCACAGTTTGAAAAATGTACATGTAAATTGTAAAATAGAGTTTAAATGTAATAAAAACTCTGCAAATAATGTGGAAATTTAAATTGGATGCCTGGTGATCATTTGGAGTCATGTATATAATATCAGACCTCACTTTGAATTTGCACAGGGCTCACATGATGTTACACTGTAAAAGGGGCTCTGGTTGCAATATATGTGAAATTTCTTTCTCTGCAACTATTGCCACCTCGATTTTAATTTACAGTTTTACATGTACATGCTATCTGTCCACACACCTGCACGCAGGCCATATGTGACCCACTCTGTGAAAATGAGTCTTAAGTTGCCACAGCCACTTAATAGTAAAAAGTCCTTTAGAATAACTTTGGACAGTGTAAATCAATAGGAAACCACAGCATTTTTCACCAGGGAGTATTCACTTTCATCAGGATGCCAAACTGAATGACACATCAAAACAAAAAACTGAATGTGCTCTTTCCAATACAAATGAAAACTCAAAAAGTGGCTCTGGCGACTTAAGACTCATTTTCAAAGAGTGGGCCACACATTCCAATGCACTAGGCCTACTTGATTTCTCATTAGGCTGTTGAACAGCCAGCCACAGCAAGTCGGTGAGCGGTATCAAAGTTTTCACACAAGTTACAGTATCTTTGACCATGATGATTTACCCTAACCCCCTAGGGTTTATCAAATGCACCTTGGTCAAGGACCTGAGGACAACAGAGCACTGGCCTGTGTAACCACCAGCGGTGGAAATGGGGGGGGGGTTCCCCCACCTTTGAAAAGCTGGTTATTTTTCCCCCTTCCCCACTTTATGGGCTTACCAGCCATTGGAGGTACATTGCAACTTCACAATTGTATTATTTTCAGTTTAATGGCCAGGGCTTATCCCTCTCTACTTTTAAACCAAAAATAAACATACTCCTGCCATCTGTGGCCAAGCAAACCAGCTGAAACACACAACCTGAAGCACCGTGCAAACTGTATGTATATGATGCCTTAGTTCATCAAAAGTTTCATGCTTGACTGAGTACAGTTCAGGCACTTTGTAGGGGTATCACTACAAGTTAGTCTATTAGGTTTCTGCAATCCAATTACAATGACCCTGGATGAGGGATGTGTGTAGATTTACTACCAGCTGATGACAGCCAAAGCCAGGAAAATCTCCATGCACAGATGATAGGCACATACAGGTACAAGTACAAGCACCCCGGCTTCTGTATGTAACTCACACAATTTGGCATGAAGTATCTGAACAGTGAATAGCAAAAAAAAAAAAAAAATTATTGTCCATTTCACCTACCTCTATGCTAGATCATGGGTAAAAGCACTCAAGCTTACTGATGCATTAAATTCAGCTCATGCCATTTGGCTTAAAATAAATGAAGAGTGAATTGTACAAAGAGGGTTACAAACTTTTGCTGTCCTAGTCAAATCGTTAGCCATTCACTACAAGATTTTTTTTTTCTTTACAAAATTTCAAAGGAATATTCTAGTGTGAGTTCAAACACTACAAGCTGAAAGGTGTTGTTCCCGAGTTTTACACAATATTGGTGCATCTGGAAAGATTTTATTACTATTTTCAGAGTCTTTTGGAATGATGGCAAAGAGTGCGAAGTTTGATAATGAAATTGAATTATGAAGGCACCATGAAAATCGCACAATAAAGAGTCGAAAGATGTACCTGTACTGATTGTAGATTTATACCTCTTAACCAAAATAAATGTTGGCACAAAGTGATTATGTGGCAGTATCTCCTGAAGTTGAATAATTTACAGTCTCATGTAACCATGGAAACCCTACATACCTCTTAGCAACTAGAGGATGTACAGGTCTCCACTTATAGAATTGACTTGACCTGATGAGGTCAGGCATGTGTGCTATAGTGGGATCAGCTCTGGCTGGGAGGTCAAGTTTCCCCCCCACACACACACCCCCATATTAGAGCCAATTAGCCAGTTGTGTTTTGGTCAGGGATTCTGCAGTTGACACTAATCTGATTAGGGCCTGGAATGCTGGCAGTCTGGGCATAATGGGATCTGTCACCTGGAACTGGGGATACACAGTTGTTTCTTGGGGGAGAGTCTGCATAGATGCACATTGTCAGCCCCAATAGATTGACAGCTTAGTAGAGTTGTGTTGCAAAAGGTCCAAAAAATGCATATTCTAATAACTTTTCTGTCAAGTGCTTTGTCCAACCTGTATAATTTGCAGTGACTTTACATGTAAATTGCACTGGTAGTAAGTTCCTCACCATTTCACTCATAAATGTTTGTCATTGTTACACTTTTGTCTGTGCACTCTAACGTGGAGCACTCTAATACAACAGCCATTCAAAGTACATATCTGCTCAAAACTATGAATGAATTAATGTACAGTGTCTGTGTCCGTGCTGTTAAGTGCAACAGCATCATAATATATTGTACACATACATGTACATGTGGGTGCACTAAGTGGCAATGATCTGTCCAGTGAGACTTTGGACTCCTGTGATCAGAGTGAAGCAAGTTGTTTCCCGGGATATTTGGGCATGTGACTGGACGCTGTAAGGGAAATTAAAATTCCTACAATACTGAATTTTGCTGAGGTTCTTTTGTGGCAAGTCATCTGCTACTTAGTATCACACTTTGAATAACAAACTAAAATGTAAATTAAAAAAACGTGAAAATAAAAGTCCTGAGAAAATAAACACACACTCACAAAATGCCTGGTAAAAGTTATTTCAGCAATGGCAGGTCTGTTTCAGGTAAACCACCAGTCTATGTGTTGAAACTGTGAAAATCGGCATCCATACAACAGCTTACATGTATGAGTAGATAAAGACAAATGTATCTTTTTTGGCTAGTATATAGTTACAAGTGGCGAATTTTGAAATGGCTTGACCATGTCAACATTCCTACACATCACTACTTAAAAAGAGTTTGTCCACATGTTTATGTCATCTGATTTTCATTTGAAAATGAACATCTACATTCCGTTTTACAAGGACAGAAAAAATTACTCTGTGACGCATTTCACATTGAGAATGTTTATCAGTCTGCGAGCAAAACCCTTGTCCACAAACAAACTTGTAGTCACGTATGCTTCCAGATGTCCCAGGGCCAGAGATAAAAATGCTGAAATTGGCCATGAAGTGTGCAATGCGCGGATACAGCTGGGGCTTCCTCAGGGTAAATGCAATTACCTTCAAATATGCACTCGCAGGGACTTTAAGTCATGTCTTGAGGTAGAACTGGCATTTAGGGACCCTGGTCCTCCCCACCTAAGAATGTCACAGGCATTCTAATGTTCAGAATGAGGAGTCAAACCTGAAGAACAGCTCAGCAAAGGTGGCAAAGGTTCAGGCAGAAGATATAGACCTATCGAATTAGGATGCAATCTGCATGCCTATCTCACTAGACACTCCCAACACTGCAAGGCACGGTCCTCAGAACAGAATGCAGGCCGTTTAATATTACTTAAATAATTTTTTTACCTTAGAGGATGTGGACGATAAGAGGAATCTAATGAAACTCATTCAAGGACTCTGATAGCATTGTTAATGTTGCCCGATGGTTCTCCAGCCTGTTTAATAATTAAATATGACGTGACCTTTTCTCATTTTAATTTTGTTGTCAAAATAGATTTCAATGTTGATTTCAGAATCAATTTCATCCCTTTAAGAACCAATTTCTCTACAAATGTCAGTTTCAAATGGATACCTTTTTCCAAATAATCTGACTCCAAGATGTTAATGCCTTTTAAAAAGTCTTCTCTTTGAACAATTTTCCCCTTAACCCAAAACCTGTTGTCTTTTTTTACTTTTTCCCCCAAATCTTTACATCTCAGCAACTGTTACATGTACCTACTTTTCGCTTTGTTCCCTTTCTTAGAAGGTCTCCAACGCAAGCAGCTCTTGTTTCCATCCAGATAAAGCGTCTTCACTGTGCAGCGACCTGACCCCTTGACCTTGATGACCCCTGACCCCATAGACATGGAGGTCAGACATCCTGAAAGAACAAAAACAAAAAGGATAATAAAATGTTCAACTGTATTTTGTTACATGAGGCTTCCCCCATTTAAGTTGAAAACAACCAAGCATGCACAGTAATTTCCATTAAGTTGCTTTAAAATGAGCTGTTCTCAGCAAAAGTCACTCAAAATCCGAACAGGTAATTTATCTTTATTCCTGTGTATTATAATGTAAAGGTCAACAAAGTCCACTGAAGTATCTGGGGTGATTTGCTATTAAAATCTGGAAAAGCCTTCATTCACACAAATAATTTAAAGTCATGTATCTCAAGGCAAGTACTAAAGACTGCCGCACAGGGAGTATAAGCCACGCAGTCAATCACACCAATGTGTTCCTGCTGCACTGAACCTGTCCCAAAACTAGTATTTCTGGGACACTGACACCTGTTAGCATAAGATACCCAAAGTAGCCTGTGATGATTAAGAGTGCAGTGCAATTATAATAGATAGCAATTCAAATGCACATATATGTCAGAAACAGAAGTCCCAACCCCTTCAAAAAGGAAAGAAAACTTACAATGTGTAAATTAAAAAAAAATTAGATTGCAACATGATTAGCATCATTACTTTTGGCCTTTATTATCAGTTTGTATTTGTACACCAACGGGAGCTGAAACTGTCTAAGCTGGAAATTTAGCAGTGACTGTAATGAGAGCTGATGGACCATGGGACTGAATGTGCAAAAAATGAAAAACACAGGAGACTTTCAAGTCTAAATCCCCCTGAAGGAATTCAATCCCAGGAGGACTTGAGGTGCTTACATTAAGTGGTCCCCATCCCACAACCCCCCTCTCATCAGGATGGAATCTCTCTCAGACAAGGAGAGACAACACCTACATGTATTTCCTGAGGCAACATGCCCTGTTTAGACTGTAAACTGGCATAGACCTCAGTTCTCCAGATCAAAATTAAACAGGAAACACCAGATTAAGCAGAAGTGGAAACCGTTTTTGATACTGGGGAACCCTGATCTGTTCTCTACCATCTGTTGGGTCAGCAGGGGATGGGGAAGGGAAAAAATGGGCTCCAAAATAACAGCAGATTTTTTTGTAGGAAAAATATTGAGGAAAAGGTGATTTTGCAGGACGTAACTTCCTTCCAACAGTGTGTGCAAAACCCCAAAACGTGGCCTCATTCCTGAGAAAAGCTATTAAAAAGGTAGCATACATGTACAAAGAGAAAATTCCGATTTGTTTGACACCACCCTCCAGTCAATGGATCCCCAAGGCCCATGAAGTGGTGGTTTCACGGGTTTGGGAAATCTTACATACATGATCCCGTCCCAAGCAGCTCAAGATCTACCAGTAGGATTGCAACTATCACTTCCCCTTTAACGAGGCACCCTGTGCTCTAGTCCCGAAATATCAACGGTCTAATCATGGAGGTAGAATGGTCTAATCAATACACTCCAGAACACCCTGGCTGCCATAATTAAGGACTGCCGACATGTGATGGTGAATTTAACGCTACATTCATCCAACTGACAGCACAATTTAAGACTACTGAGCTGTACCATCAATGACCAACATTCTAATTTTGTTCCTTTTAGCGGTGTAATGAAGTTGAAAAGTCCAGACCAAATATCAGATCCAGAACTTGATCAAATGCCACGTTTGTGGAACGTACTTGTATATCTACTGCGGGTTTTATTTGTTCACATTTTGCAAAACCTAAGAACACTTTCACAGCACTGCAGAACAGCTAATTTGTGCTTACACAGCCTCTATCCATTTCACGAAGACTTTTAAAGAAACAATGCAATGAGTTTTTCTTCGATTTATTTTCAATGCATTTTTTTTATAACTCTTCCATATGAAATCTGTTTGAAATCTTTTTATGAGGTAAGTGAACTGTAAAGTGCATTTTTTTTTACATTCAAAATTGACTGAACTTTTCGAGCCAAGTAAGGATCTTGCTGGTGTGATGTAAATCCAGAAAGACACTGTTCAGTTTGCATGTTTTCATGATCATATTTTTGATCCAGAAATTTGCTGTTTGAAAACGTTTCTGAGAAAATGTTGCTCACTGGCTTGTTGCCACTTATACAACAATGAAATGCCAAAGGAAATTGAAATTTTTGATCAGGAAGTATAAAAAGCTACATGTACCATTATCTTGTGCACAATCAGTGCAACATTGAGGTTTAGTGCCTTGGATTACATTTCAGTTTTGCTCATTGATATGCCAATTCATATCAGCATAAAAGCTAAAAAGCCCCGCAATACAGATAAAAATACAAAGCCACAACTGAAAATAAGGTTTATTGAATTATATAAAGGTGCAATTTAAAATTTAGTAAAATAGTTCTATTGCATGATTCCTTCAAGCAGTAAGCACAGCAAACACTACCCTTGAGGAAAATGTAGCTTATAGCAATGTGTAGAAATCTCCATGAACTTTAGGTCACTCAAGTGAAACAGTGCAGCAGCATGATTTCTGCTACAGTAAGCACAACTTTCGCACTCAATGTTAAGCAGTGCTAAATGAGCCCTGGCCACATTTTATCTGAGCAATTTATGCCCACAGTCCTCTCTACCCATGACTCCCCTGGGAGTCGGTATCCCTCTGCTTCTCCCTGTTGGCTTTTCCCCAAGAAGAACAAAATAATGAACTGTCCAAAAGCAAACAAAAGAGCTGCCATTATTAACTCATAAATGCAATCATTTCCAAATCAGAGCAAAGCTCAAAAGCTGGCTGGACCTTAAGATCCTGCAGACATGTTCTGTCAGGACCTTTACCTTTATTTCTGAGACAACTGGCTGTTAAAAGAAAAAGGAATCACAAAAAAGTGCAGTGTTGCTTATATTTTTGGAGAACAAGTAAGGTCGGGCATGATGACTACATGTAAGACATCTTAGCTTGATCCCCCATGCACGTTTGAGATCAATGCTATACATGTAGGCTTATAGGATTGTAATGCAGCTTAAACTTCTTTTTATTGCAATTATTTATTAATAGGCCTACAGTCTGTGAAAGTGGTGATTACTGTAAATGGACATGCTTACCTATCAGAAAGTTAAAACAATCCTAGTGCCTGTTAAATGTGGCTGGTCTTAATAGTTGATAAAACACCAGCTGACTATAAGCACCAATATCCACATGAGATGTATTTATGACTACTTGCAAGAGGAACATACGGTAACATAACACGGCTAGAGGGGAGTTTGAGAAAATATTGAACTGTTCCACAAAACATTCGGAAAGTTTTATTTTACTTTAGCCTTCTTTTGACTTTGTAACTCAAAAAGATTGGTTATTCCCATTCCCTTAACTCGTTTGTTAACACATGTACATACATGTACGCGAATCGACAAATGTAGCCATTTTATTATTACTTTTCTCATTAATGGCAACTAGAATTTAACCTGTCTTTCAATCTCCTATTTCCTCTTCAGTTGAAACTTCTCCCCCCTCATCACCCCTCAAGAAAAAAGAAAAAAAGAAAGAAAAAAAAAAGAAAAAGGAAGAAAGAACAAACTTGGAGGTCAAGCATTTCACTGTAAACCAGGTCAGGTCACAAGCATTTCCTCCTGGTCCAAATCATCTGGTCCAAAATTTCAGTACTCCTCAAGCCTCATAGACCTGTCACTTTGCCAGCCTTCGTCCCCCAAGGTCTCATTGGGTTCTCATTTTCTCCACCAGGAACCCAGCCATTGGCCCACAAGTTCTTGAAATAACCAGCAGGATCCTCTCTTAAGGGACTGGCTGACAATGCTTGAGCCAGGAGACCACTTGTGATATAAAAAAAAGCTCCAGAGAAACTTCATATATTCCCCAAATTCCAATGATGAGGTAGGAGGCATTTAACCAGACTTGACAACTCTGGACACAATCTCTGGTACAAATTACATGTAAGCTAATGATGACCACTGTGCCAAGACCAATTTGCCAAAATGAAATGATTCCATTAGGTAAGGATGCACAGTAGCCCTGCATAGGCTTGTTGGATTACCCATAAACTTCCTCTGCAGGCTGCAACCACAGAGGACAAATACATTTAAGGACTTGCAAACTGTAGAGTTTATCTTGCAAAGCATCACAGGCTGAATAATATAACAGTTCAATAATCTTTCTATTTTCCAGTCCTTATGAAGCCGGAGAATAGTGGTTATGCTTAATGATAATGTTAACAACTCAGTGTACATATACATGTACATGTATAAATACTAGTACATGTACACTTACATGTACATTTAAGTACAAGAAAAACTCCAATTGGGCGGAAACTTCAAGTAGCGAAGAGACGTAAACCAGAGCTTGTCCAGTGGAATCACCTTGAAGGCTGATATGAACAATGTACATACATACCTGTTCATTGATGTACATGTATGGTACATGCATGTATTGTTCTCCTCAATCGAAATCTCAACATTTCCAACCTCATCATATTAGTAACAGGAGGAAAAAACTCACACGCAGGTACTTATATGCTATTCTTATTCTGAAACTTCCTTGTTAAACCCTGCAAAGGTAATGAGAAATGCTTCTTCAAAGATGATCTCATATTTCTGATTTTACCAAGTGAATTTAAATGTCTGAAAATAAAGCTTACATGTAAAGTGTAAGAGCAACCATATTCAATGGTCCCTAAGGGTTATAGCACTAAACAAACTCTTTGTGTACAATTTCTGATTTTATCAAATAAATAAAAAATGAAGGACAATCATTTTCATCATTTCAATTTATGCGTATTTAGCTAAAGTGCTGTTTAAATTGTAAAATTGGTAAAGCAGTATTTTATACAGATGGGCAAATGACTAAGAGTTTGAAGTGAACTGACACAGGTGCACATGTACATGTATGTGCACTGTACCCTACATGTAGACTACAGTACATGTACACATGTAGCATTTTTTTCATGGGAGTGTAATAAAACTTTAGAAAACCTTCACAGCCAGTGATAATTGATTTCAAAATCTTTAGAAAACCTTCAGAGCCAGTGATAATTGATTTCAAAATTCTATATTTCAGTTTTGTTAATAAGATAAAGTATACACAAAGATATCATACGCAGTACTGGTATGTACAAAGTAATCCTTTCACCGGTGATGGAATGATTTTCATAGTTGGGGGAGGGGAGTTGTTTGACCATCAGTCACCAGCCATTAAGGGCTTGATCCTTTGAGTCCCACTCAATTATAGGGCCTGCAAAAAGTGGGGGAGAGGCCCCCCAATTGAAATTGTGGGCGTCCCCCACTTCTGCTGCCAGTGACTCCTGTCATATAATTCTGCTCCATGAGATTGACTTTATTTGAAATTACCTGTAAAATCTTGTGTCAAGGCTGTCAAGAAAACAGTGTCACTTAGGCCCCCCCCAATACTTCTGCTTCCGGTTTCCCGACTGACCCTGATTTTTTATCGACAAGTTAGAAAAATAAATTTTAAAAAAATGCTTTAATGAAAAGAAATTAAAAATAAATGCCAATGTCATTTCTGTCTTTACAAATAACCCCTGAATCACCTTTTTCACGTTAAATGTTCTCCTTCTTACATTTGCAACTATTGAAAAGAAAGTTCCATTATTTTCACGAGTTCCCTTTGTGTTTTGCTGTCACAGTGGTGAAAACATGTGTGCAAAGCTCAATACATTAAAGCAATATGCTGTGCCAGTTCCTGTCGCGCCACACCCACATGCAAAGAACGCGGAATAGAAATGTGGCAACTAGTTATACTCATGGTGTCGGTACACTGTAGAGTACCGAAGTGTGATGTCACTGTGAACCAGAAAGTGCAGTGCAAACGAATGGAGTATGTGCGCATTGGTTCACGCGCTGGTTCTCGCGCTTATGCCTTTTACACACTAATTGTGTGCGTGACGTAGCCACTCCGGTACTCTATAGGTGTACGTCAAAAAACTTTTGAGGTTGTTTTGCTCATACTTGATGCAAGCGTGCTTCTGCAAAATTTCCTGCCGTGCCACAATTTTTATCGCCCGCACGTCTGGATTCATCAAAGATGCTTACCATGCGATACACGGACATTGTTGGTAAGTTTGTTCCCGTCGTGATTACCATACTAGCATTGTGCATAGTGGTGTAAATTGTCCATAATTCTTAAAAATTATCAACTGTAGAAATGTTTACAGAGATTAAGCCAAGTTAAGTCATCCCTTTTGAGGCAATGTTTGGCAGCTTTCATTCCAATTAATGTCACTGAATCAGCACAAAAAAACTTACCCGCCCTCCAAAAAAATCCGACCTACTGACCCTATTTTTGAGAGGTATCAGAAGCGGAACTTTTTTTTTGCCTATATGTACATATAGGCCTACTTCTAATTTTTGTTGTATATCCCATTAATAATCTTAGAAACTTCAAACTTAATTATTGGAGCTTGGCTCAGATGCGGATTGCTGTTTGTTTGAAAAATGCAAGTTTCATTCAATTGGGTTTTGCTTGATATGGAAAAACCCCACAGAGTTAACAGAGAAAATATCCTGCAGTGATTAATTTGGGGGATACATTTCATCTACATACAATGAAAACAACGTACTCAAAAACTTTAATCGTCAGGGGAAAAAGTAAAATATGAAATGGTTTGAAAGTACGCAACTCCAGCTGATAAATTTAATTTGAATAGAATTACCAGCAGCAGACTTTCGGTGAGGATGGGGAAGTTCAAGAGTGAAGCCTCAAGACAGGTGTCCAGGCAAATGAGAGCACTGTGCTGCCAATAACAGGACCTTGCCACTTTGTAACATGATCTGTCCAGGCCACTGGTCAAAAATTCTCCAGTGGTGGAGGCCTTCGTCCATGGACTGACCTACAAAAGGTGTCAAATCTGTCATGAGGCCTGGGGCTGTTTTGATACTCAAAACTCCTTGGATGAAGCTGATATCAAACTGGAGAGGGTGGACAGACCTGTGCTGAACAGCAAACAGTGAGCTGTTTATTGGAACAGACCTCCTACCAGCCTATATTGGGGCAGATGCATGCCAGGAGGTCACTGCATGGTACATGTACAGTGTAGCTATAGTTTTATCAGATGAAGGATTAACATGTACACATATAGAACAGTGCAGAAATGACCTTCAAAACACAAGAACACTCAGATTTTATTTATAAATGAATTTCTTAAATAACACAATGTTAAGCGGTGGGGGAGGGGGGAATTCTCACTCTTTTTAGCATTCATGACAGAACATTTCTGTCCCCATTTCTGTAAGACAGTTACAATAAGGAATTTGACTTGAATCTAGAGACACGTACACATGTATAATATGTATCTTCAAGTTGAATGATACAAAATACACTGTACATGTGCATACTGAATATTAAACTAGGCAAGGTTGGAAAAAAAACATGAACTGAGGGCTAATAAATCTAGGTAGGGAATATATGTGGCAGAGGCATCTGAACACAGCCGTATTTTATTTTTTATGCATAGCCACAAAATTTGCCAACCCCTTTAAATCTGTAAGATGAGGCAAATCCTTGTACAATAGGGAAGATGCTGTCAGCCCAAAACATGCATTTTGAAGCAGCATTCCAATGCAAAGAGATCCTAATCAGAAAAGTAGACTAGATAACGCTTACTTGCTATATCTCCATCATCCATGTCCTCATCCTCCTCGCTGACACTGTTCTCAATCCAGCTATCAGTGCTCCCCAGGGACCCACTGGTCCCCAGAGTCCGATCCAGGCCCAGCTTCCTGGCCCGGGGGAATCGGGGAAGCCAGACATCGTCTAAGTCCTCAGGGGCTCCAGCCCTCGGCTGGGACTTGATCTCTGGTGTCCGGCAGCGTAGGCTTCCGTTTGTTGGGGATGATGGCTCTAGCCCCAGGTTGGAGTTGCTGAAGCCGCTATCCTGCTCCTCCGGGGAGATCAAGCTATCTGAGAGCTGCCGGATGTTCCCTGGCCGCCCTGACGGAAAGGTGGTCCGCTCCTCCAAGATAGAGTCCTCCGATCCGCCAAGGGAGGCGATGGAGCGAGTACGGTTGGAGCAGGAGGAGTCGGAGGAATCCATACGGATCTGGCGGATAAGGGAAGCTTGCTCCATGGCCTCACCTGAACCTGGAACAATAGACCATATGAAGATAAGATTGATCAGGTTTTTTAGCCAGTACAGTGTAATTCAAACCTTTTATTACTGATGTCCACATCTTGCCAACACCAGCAATTTCTTCCGGTTCAATACACCACATTCTTTTATTTTCCAATCCTGCACCATGTATCACAGCGGACACAGATGAGGAAATTTGAGGTACAATACGTGTACATGTATGTGAGATCCAAGTTATGTACATGCATATTTTACCGTTATGCTACTGCAAAATATACACAGCACAGCTTTACTATGGGCTGGGAAACCAAAATTACTGCAAGTATCTCTTTGTGAATTGCTTTTTTCAAGTTCAGAATGGTCAAAATTAGGAAGGAATAAATATTTTAACATGAAGTATTTTTATCTATCAGATTTTCATTTCATGAGTAGCAGATTGGGCCTGAGATCTTTAAAAATAAAATTTGCCAGGCGTCAAAAATATCAAGTGTTATTACATGTACATACCACGTATGTACATGTACAGTAGCTCTTTTTGAATGAATAGATACATGTAGGCCTACCGTACTTGCAAGTACAAACCTCTTAATGCTTACAGCACAGCGCTATAATTCAAAGAAGTCAAGGATCCAAAATTTCTTTTCCATTAAGATGCATTGTTTTTGACACTAATGGAGACATGCTGAATAAAACATCAGCCCTATACTCTCTTCTTTTCCTACCAACCATTACTGCTGCATAATGTTCTGTCCATTGAAGGTCAAGCCAATCTGAGGTATGAATCATATTTTTTCACTGTTTTCATGCACAGTCTGTTTGATACAATCACAACACATACCTACATCTTTTACTTAATAACATTTTACTGTATCCATCCAAATTTATTTGATTCAAATATAAGTATCTTTCCCTTGAGTCTCTCAAAAAAATTTTGTTGCAATAATGACAAGGCACATCAGTGAGTCACTTTTTCATCAGAATATGCTTTTGCCATATATAATACTACACCACTATTCCAGTTACCAACTTATGAAGACAACAATTGCATAATACACCTGTATCAGCATGTTGGTAAAGCATAAACAATTTCCATCCAGCTGACTGAATGGCCTTAGTCATTTAACAGCAGCTGTTGTGTGTGGCTTTTGGGGGTACATGTAAGACTACATTGATTACCTGCTGCATTTCTTAGTACTGTTTTCAATACAACAAAGAAAAACTTCTCAAATCCAGTTCACTGTGTACTCTGCCAGGAATGGCAATATCTAAGAAAATTGGTATTCACGTACAGAAATTCTATGTACATGTATATCTTCACATACTGACTGCAACTTTGACCATGGTGCTTACAGCAGTCAGGCAAGAGCCAAGTGTCTGCCAGAAGTGGAGGTTCAAGGAGACAGTGGTGATACGAATCATTAACTTCAGAGTGTGACAAGGCAGGGATCTATATATACATGTGGCTCCTTGATATTGTGGTCAAGGTCATTGATTGTATCTTATTAAGAAAACATCTTCAGACAGGAGACAGCTCTATGGAAGCTGTTGCTTTGATTAGGTACGGTACCTAAATTGGATGAGAGAGGATAGACACAAGCCTTAAAATGAAACACAAAACTGACGGGTAGCTATGTTGGATTGGATATACAGGGTACGACAACTAGGCCAAAATCTGATGGGAAAGGATCATGCTACATTGCTAAGCAAAATTAGCCATATGTCATTAGAACTCCACATCAAGTATGGTACTCATTCCACTGATGACCATACTATGCATATCATCACAGAATTCTTGCTGGAAATTAATCCTGATAATTAAGCTTGATGGCACGTTAACTATACGTACAGGTATGTTAGTAGGTGTGACTGGTTTATTAACTGTAGTTGGTTGAACATTACACAAAACATCACAAATGGCTGTGGTAGGGCCTACAAATACCGGTAATAAAACAAATGAGATTACTCTTGTTAGCACAGAACAATTTAAATAAAGTCAAAATAAAGTGAAAGGTGACCGGGCAACAAATAGAAGAGGAGAAAAATGAACTTACAATGATGTCACCCTTGAAAAATATAATAAATGAAAGGCAATCTCCAAGATCAGTCATTACTCTGAATGAAAAAGTCCTTACTGTATATCAATTAAACAAAAAGAGCACATTTTCATGAATACTTAGATGACTTTTCTATCATTGTGAATAAATAACTTAACAATTTATGGGTTTTTTTTTTTAAATTTTATTTAAGGAGAGATGAGGAAATTCAAACATTTTTGGTGTTGTGGTGCTCTGTGTCTAGTACCCCCAATTTTCAAGATGTACGGGCAATTCAGCATCCACGGACAACCCAGGCAAAAAGAAAAATTCTAACGGGCTTGAGGGGACTTTGAAAATTTTTGCTAATCTTTAGAAAAACACTGTATATCAGGGAGAATTGAACTCCTACATGTACATGAAGCTCAATGACCTGTACACATGCAATTGCAGATCCACAATTGCAGACGTCACTCTTTCCTTCAGAGAATCGCTGGAAGGTTGGCCTCTTTATACTTTGCATCTTAATATTCAAAAGAGACTTATCAACTTCTGAGGAAACTTCCTGAAAATTGTGCACAACATTCCATATTTTGAAGAAAGAATGTTCACATTTAAGTAGCAATTTTCTGCAGGAGAAGACCAGAAGATTTTTATTTGGCCATAGGGTGATGCAAGTACGATACTCAGTGCAATTATCAGTCTGACTACTTTGTTATTTTATTCAAAAGTAGTACGTGTATACTTGAAGTTTCCAATGTCACTTAGACATGGAATGTAAAGGACTCTTCAAGAGTCCATTATGCAAATGGCTGATGCATCTTGCATGGTTATGTCATTTGGACAAAGCGGTCCAATGATCGCAAACTGTAATTAGCCAAGCAGCGACCTTTGGTAACAACCAGCAAAGAAACTGATGAAGAACCCATCTATGAAAGAAATTAACTTGAAGTTTGGAGGGCCAGATGATGTTTGTCCTCCCAACAGAATATTTCTCTTCTCCAGAAGGGGGCTCACTAAGGTCCACCACTTCTTGCTAGGTACTGCAATTGTAAAGTTGGTAATGAATCATGTTACCATCAGAGCCTCAAGGTCAAAGCAGATGCTGGTTATGGCAAACTGATGACCTTGTGCCTTGAAGGACTAGTGTGGATGGGTACAGTGTTGAATTAAAGATCCCTAATAACTGCACATAATTACGTTTACAAGTAGAAAATATACATGTATCTCAAAAGGGCACTTTATGGCAATATCAAGACATGTTCAATGCATTATGATATATCTGCATAACACTCACAAAATATCAAAATTCATATCACATATAAAAAAAGTTTCTTTTCTTTTTTCTTTTTTTAAATAAGAAAGCACCTCAGTTGTTGGGGGATCTGAACAGGCCAAAAGTCTTTGAAATCTTTCAGAATGTTCTTCAAAGGGTTCAAGCTACTTTACACTCATGAATGCCTATTCAAATAATCCTTCAAATAAATTAAAAATAACAAGACTACAAACAAATATTGTGCTATTAGTTGGTTCCTCTTAACAGGAACTGGTTGATCTCTCCATGGCCTGACATTTCCCATTTTATATACATTTTATATATTAAGTTTTAGCACTGATTAGAAATTTTCCATTTTGTATGACAAAACATGTCCCACAGTCACACTAAATTCATGAAAGGTGCAATGTACATGACTGTCTGTCACTTTGGTATGTAATTCTACTCAATTAAAGTGGGACTTTTCCTTGTACTGCTGAAGAATAATTTCAACACAAAATCCAGTAGAGCGATTCTCTTTTTAATGACTTTATTGAACAGGATGCAGTTGAATTCCCACGATGACTTCTTTGCAAACTATCTCAACAGCAAATATAGTCCAGATAACATCTATGGAGAATCTCTAGATTTATAGAAGCTTTAATTTAACCTGGAAGCTAGTCAAATAATCAGGTTTACACGGTTCATTTTAATAAATCCTCTGCTATACCTCACCATTTTGTCATTATACACCTGCCTAAACATCAAGCTCATCAAGCATTCCTTTCAGCAAGACCTAATTCTGACCATCAGGCAAGCAGCTGATGAAGCAATTGCGAATGCAGTCTGCATTTTCTCATGTTCGATATTCTCCCACCCCCCAACCACATCTACCCATTCTTGCAGCACTATAAAGACACTGTTTCAACTTAATTTGACCAACCGATCGCCAATTCATCAAGTTTTGTTATTAGAGTGCCAGGGCTGCGCAGAGGCACGAGCTCCCCAAAGGCCAAGGGTAAACATGAGGTCCTCATACCCGAGAAGTGACCAATCTGCCATGGATCGAGGCAGCAACCTGATGGGAGGGTGGGAAACTGTGTACTCAAAACTCAAAGGCCACAATCAAGGGGGACTCCAGGTTTTTGATCTAATTTTACTTGATCCAAATGGGAGGAGAGAACTATATTGAAAGGGAGAAGTGGGGTGCATAGAAGATGATGACTTGGAAAAACACAGTGACCCTCAGAGAAAACCAGTGTTAAGGTACTTACAAGTACATAAATGATAGCATACATATACATGTAACCTTCTTAGTATTTCATCCTTCAACTGGACTTGATTTACAGAAATGTTAGTCCCCCCATAACCATTCAAAATAAACTTACATGTACTTTTCACAAGTTTGGCTCCACAGAAAGTGTTTCCTCATACATGGAAACTTGTACATGCATTTATCAGTAAGCAGTAGTACAGATGGATCTGTTTTCAAGTAATCTGAGATGATCCTGTGAGATCAAGGTCTACATCTGGATCAATTTAGCCTTTATCTGAGATGTGTAGAAAGACCGGGAAAATTAGCTAAGGGTTCCTTGAATCAGAAGAGTCCAGCTACTCGGTAATGTGGAGACAGACAGGGCCAATACATGCACAAATAAGCCCTAATTTTCTTATATAATAAAACATCTGCTCTGTGTATGCTGTCAAAGCATGGGTCTCAGTA